CTACAATGCTATAAAAAAAATTGCAACAAGAACTACATAGGATATAATTTAATTTCTTTATATACTTTAAGAAATACTTAGTAGTAGAGAATGTTTATCTTCCCCTGTTTTAAATAGTAATTCGTAGTTTCATTTCGTCAATGGGTCTCCCCGAAACCAGGGCTATATTTATGCCCGAAACTGAGTTTTGAGATTATGGTGCCCGCTTCAAACTGTTCTGGCGATGCCGTTCGAAAACAAACTGAAAATTTTAATCAGGTTTCATCTTAGGAATGGAGATATTCCTTCCTTCCTTTTTTCAAACAAACCATTCTGCGTAGAATTCAGATGTTTTGAAAATAAACTTTTCATTTTAATGCAGTACATTTTCCAATGACACACCGACTACATTTTTGTCACTTTTTCATCAAAATAAAAACTCATGTAAAATTGACATTTAGAAATTGAGAATTTGATTGGTGCATTTAAAGTATAATGATCAAATCATATTCAGTAGGAATGTTCACAAATTTGCAAAAATCGTGAATGGTATGTTTATATTCTTTAAGATTTTAACTTCTTTCCGGAATTTAATTTTCTGATAAAAATATTTAAAATAATGATAAAATTATTCTTATTAAACCATTAAGCGATTAATAACCATTAACCGTTAAACTTAACAAAAGTTCAAGATATTTGCAGCGGGTTTCATAAGTTCTGTGTAGCGGAACAGGCACAATGTAATTTACGCAAAAATATTGTAAGGGCATAATTTTCTGGTAGTAGTAGCTTTAAAAGTTAAACAATCATTTGAAAGTCTATTCTTGTTTCGCTGAAGTGTATAAAATACTTTTTCATCCTCTTTTCTTATTTTACAGAAAAAAATTTTTTTTATAAATATTTATAATGCAAGTATATTTTACTCGTGAATATATATATAACCGTTTATTTTATTACTTCTCCAACGTAGCGATAAATACCATTCATTCTAAGTTTTTATTTATTTATTTTCTAAACTAACTATGAAAGAACCGTAGTTCTGAAGCACTTGTACTAACATATCTGCATTACTAGTATTAAGTTTTTTTTCGGCTACCGGATACATAAAATTTAATAACATTTTTGAAAAAAAATAATAATAATAATATCAGTTTCTGAGAAAAGAAGATAGTAAACTCATTCATTTCCAAGAAAAACTCATATCGATATCGATCTTTTACCTTAGTCATAAACACATTTCGTAATAATCAGTGGCGGATCTAGATATTATGAAATGTTTCGTATTATTAAAGCCCTCTTTTAATGAACTAACAACAGCATGCTAGAGGGGTCAATAGCCCCAGGCATCCATTCAAAGAAGGCATCCAATCAAAATACTATGCTTTAAAAAAAAAACATTAAAAACTTTCCATACAAAAACTTATAATTTTATCTAATTTTGTTCTAACAGCAAAGGCGTAAACAAACGAATTTTCAAATATCAGCCTATTTAAAATTATAAATTAGATACTGTTTTAAGCTCCTCTAAATTTGTCAAGAAAAAGAATACAATGGGAAACTTTTGATTTTTTTTCTGACTCAAATTAATGATAAACAAACTAAAAAACATCAAATGTTCGCTTTGAACAACTAAACTAAGGCAAAAGTATAATTTAAATCTTCAAGTATCTAATTTGTAAACAAACTTGAAAGTTGTTGACCTAGAATCGACGAGTTCATTGAATACATGATGTCTCACTTTGTATTCATCATCTGACTGTATAAATAATGTTATTTTTTTTTACTGATTAAAGCGAAACATTATAACGTTTACGGAATTCTCAAGAAGATATACAGAAAATGTATAAGGAAAACTTAACTTTAGAATATTTATTCAGCTAAGCTAAATAATGTATACGAGTCCCGTTGTTCTAATCTTCCTGAATCTCCCTAATCTAATCTCCCTTCGTTTTTGAATAGGTTTTTAAGCTCTGAAAAAAAAAAATTTCTACAACGTCTTAAATTCTAAAATCATTAAATAAAATATATTATTTTTGCAATTTATTTCAGTTCAAAGATTTATAAAATTAAATCGAACTTCTTTATGCTGTTTGTAATGTATTATGAAATCAATTATAAATAAACAGGAAAAATTATATTCTAGAAATAATTTAAAAATGTTCTTTTAAAATCGTCCCGATTATTCTGAAAGAATTTTATCAGTATGGAATAAGATGTAAATTCTTGACTGAACATTCGCATTTTTATTCTATAGTGTTAAAAAAAATTCTGTACTCTTAAATAATTTTTAAAAAAAATTCTTTCTGAAATAAAACAAGTAATATCAAAAATTATTTCACTATGGCAAAATTCACGGAAAAAATATTTTAAAGTCTTAGAATGGTTTAACAGTGCATTTATATGCTTACGCAGTATTTATAGCAAATCGTTTGGCTTTAAAATATTATTATCTGTTTCAATTCGTTCGTAAAATTTATTTATGATAGAATTTATTAGGATTAAATATTGACTTAGGGTTTAAGTATATGAAGTAACAGTAATTATTGTCATAAAAAAATTATTTTCCTTTGCATTCAACATCTTTCAATGCAACAAACTGAAAAGTGTTTTTAACACTTTATGGAGAGAATAAAATATTCAAACATTATTATTTCAACGATGTGATATATATTTATAAACTATTAAAAACATTTTTTCTTCATCTCTCATTTTTCCTCACCCATTTTTAAATAATTGGAAAAATGATCTGCCATAAAATAAAGCTCAAATATCACGTAAGTAAAATCATTATTTGTGTTCTTATATTGGACAACTAAAAAATTCTATATTTACCAACTGGCTCTCCTTTGGTCAACCAACATCGCAATAGGTAAACAAGAATCCATGGAATATGCGAAGAGACACCAGTGAGATTCAAATATAACAGACCTTCGTAAGAAGGAAATCAAAACGGTGGAAATCCAAAAGAAGGTAAAAACGAAAAACTAGTTCCTAAATTATTTAAAATAAATCTAAAGTCATTTTAAACGTGAGCAAGTGATCTATGTTAACAGAAGAATGAAAATCCACACTCTGATGATCGGCTAACTCATCCACATATTTAAAATTCTTTTAAAAATTAAACAGACATTTACGAAAGAAGAAGAAAAAAAATTCAATCTAAAGTTCTTTCCTTCGCTTTATTTGATATCGTCATCAGATCACGTGATTCGACCCCGTTTTTATGTGGATAAGGTCGACGCTGCTTGATGGACGGATTAGTAGCTTCGAGGCACAGGTAAATGTTCCATGTTGACTGTAAGAATCGTAGCAATAAGGCAGACTTTTTTCTTCTTTTAATTTTATTTCGTTTTTAAAGTATGAATTAGATGCGAAGGCTTTCTGCAGAATAAAAGCTTTTTCTAGAACCAGTTTTTTCTTCTTGTTGTTACAAAAATTTTAGTGTTTTTTTATTATTTTATCAATAACGCAGATGGTTTAAATAAAGAGTTAGTTAAAAGCTTTTGTCAAAAGGCTAATGACCAAGTAAGTTAACTATCAAAACACATTTTGGCCTTCATCGGAAAAAAGAATCCATATTTGTATTACTATTAGGAGGGGGGGGGGATACCATGGTCAGCTCAACGTCATTGACACTCAAATCTAAAATACAGTATAGGGGACATTTGAGTGAAGATATGAAAAATACACCGAACTGCTAGAGTTGGGACTCAAACCTGGGTTAATTTTTGTTTGTTATTAATTATTTACTATTATTTGTTTATTAATTTATTTATTATTACTTATTATTTAATTTTTATTATTTATTAGTTAATTTATTACTAGTTTTTTTATTATTTTTAGTTTGTCATTTTTTAAAAAATAGTTGAAAATCTGCTATTAAATTATGTAGTGGCAAGTAAGATAGTCAGTAAGGAATATAATATATCGGTCTAAGCGCATGAGCAGAATGTTAAAACGCAAATTGTAAGTTATTCGAATACTTTACAGACTAAGTACAGTTTAGAAGTAATTAATTAAAATTCATTATGTGCTCATCCACAACTCGCAAATTCGCTGAGACTACGGTTCATTGGTTCGCTTTTCTTTTCCTGATTTTTTTTCCTTCCTACATTTTTTTAATTTTTTGTTACTTTGAGAATAATTCATACTCGCCCTCGCAGTATAGCGACACAAGTCTATAATAATGTGCACATAAAGTTAAAAGTAAACAATCTTAAAAATAAATAAATACGTGAAATAATTCTAAAAAATTATTTTATATGGAATTTCTGCCAAAATAATAATGAAAAAAAAATTTTTTTTTATGTCATAACATTGTTAGAGCATTATTTTACCTGTGGTATTAAGTGACGCTTACAAAAGCAAAATTCACCCTCTACAGCAGTGTTTCCCAACGTGGGGCCCACGCCCCACTGGGGGGCAATTTGATTGTTAAGGGGGGCAATTCGAAAATGGACTCGACAAGAGTTTTACCCATTTGCTTCGGGCCATTTAAATACAATGCTAGATTTCAGTTCCAAAATTGAAAGAAAAAAAGCAAATTCTTAAATAATTGCGGCCAATAAATATTATAAATTCGTTTGATGAGACCAAAATATCAACTGGGTTTTTGGCGTCGTTAAGTTAACTGACCTCCCTGCGGCATATGGCAGGCTCCGCGTAGACTCCTTGACACTTTAAAATTTCGCTAAACAATGCAGTTGTTCGCATCTGAATGGCCCGTCGCAACTTCTGTAGTGTTTCGCAACATTCAGTGATAGAAATCAATACCATAGTATGTGATTTATGCCTGTAATGCAACAGTAAAGTCTTTATTTACTGCTCACACTTCAACTCATAACTGTATTCGTGAGGCTAGTTATGAAATTTCTTTATTCATCGCTAAATTTGGAAGAAATCATACTATAGGAGAGAATTAAATAAAACCGTCAATATCAGCATTTCTTAAAACGGTTCTTGAAAAAGATGTAAAAGCTATGCCACTCAATAACAATACTGTTAGCAGAAGAATAGACGAAATGAGTGAAGATATTGAAAAACAACTTGTTGACAAGCTAAAAACAAGAAAATTCTCAGTGCAAATGGATGAATCAACTTCGATAGACAGTGTGGCAGTATTGATAACTTGCGTAAAATATATTGATAAAGGGCATTTTGCTGAAGAAATGCTGTTCGGTAAAAGATTAGAAAGCACCACTACCTCCAAAGATATTATATAATAAGCTAAAAAAAACTACTTAGATGTCAATAATATACCAATGAAAAATATAACATCTTGTGCTGCAGATGGTGCTCCTAATATGATGGGCAAGAAAAATTGCTACTTAAAATTGATGAAAGATGAGAATCCAGAAATGATTCTTGTGCATTGTGTTATTGTATGGGGAAAAGTTGTGCATAGGGAAAACTTGGTAGTCAAAAACATCTCGCCTGTTCTAAATGAAGTACTTGCATTCAGTAATAAAGTGTATCGATGCTATTAAAGCTAATGCCAAATCTGAGCGCCTCTTCAAGTTGTTTTGTGAAGAACAAAATGCAGACCATGTGAGACTTTTACTTCACTCTGAAGTAAGATGGCTCTCTAAAGGGAACTGCTTGAAAAGATTCATGGAACTGTTTGATACTCTTGGTGATTTTTGAAGTGACAAACCTGATATGAAGTATCTGTTAACAGTCGATGGTAAAGCATTTGTGAGTTATTTAGCCGATATCTCTGAAAAACTAAATATATTAAATAAGCAACTTCAAGGAACAAATAAAACTCTTGTTGATACAAAAACGAATATATTTGGTTTCATTACCCTTTGAGTTAAGTCTGAAAACAAAAACTTAGATCAGTTTAATTGTCCCCAAAAATTAAAAGTAAATGATACCGCTTTACTTGTTATTGTCGATCATCTGAAAATTCTATCTTCTGATTTAAAACAAATTGATTTTTCAGCACGGATGATGCAGCCAATGTTAGTGCATTTGTCTGGTATATGAAATATTCAGTATGAAGAAGAACTCTCAGAAATGTAAAATGATAAGTCAGTTAAAATTTTATTTTATATAAAAGGAGTTATGGCATGGCTTTGTGAGGAAACAGAAATCAAATACNTGTAAAATGATAAGTCAGTTAAAATTTTATTTTATATAAAAGGAGTGATGGCATGGCTTTGTGAGGAAATAGAAATCAAATACCCAAATTTAACCAAATATGCAAGAAAACTATTGTTACCGTTTTCTTCTTCATATTTAGCTGAATGTGGATTTAGTGCTGTAAATGATTTACTGGTAAAAAGAAAAGAAAAAAAAAAGGAAATCGCCTGGATATAACACAGTGGGGAGACTTGAGGCTGAAGCTAACCAAATTGGAAACTAACATAAAATCTCCGTGTCACAAGCATCAAGCGCAAGGGTCTCTCTAAATTAAAATATTAAATTATTATAGAAAAATCTTTATGAAAATTATTTTGAATTTGAATTTTAGTTTTTCATTATAAGTTTCATTATAAGTCGAAATTTTACTTACTGTGTTTCGTCAACAGTTTCCTAGAGATTTCTCATTGAAATCTATCATTTAAGTTTCTTTTGTGAACAAATCAATTTTTTAATATTAAAAATTATGTGTTTGTCACATGGGGGGGCATAAGAATTTTAGAAAGGCTTGAGTGGGGCATGACACAAAAAAGGTTGGGAAACACTGCTCTACAGACTATAGATAAATAAAACTCTAACATGAACTAGATGAGAGGGATGAAGTTGATTCTTCCCGTTGGCAACTAAAATGCCTCTATTTAATTGAAAAACGAAAATTTAAATAGCTTATAGAATATAAGTAGTATGTTACACAGCAATGAACCAATGAGTGAGGTTCATGCCAAGAGTTCATTACTTTTCAGCCAGTTGTTTTTGGATATTTCAATTAGCAATTTCGATAGGTGGCAATCTACGGTTTATTTTAAAGTTATATTTTTGTTCATTTCAGTACGATCATATCATAAACGATGATTACAGCATAAAGGAATAATATACTTCTCTCAGTGTGATTTGTTCGAAAATTGTGATTTTTCTAGCTTTATTACTGAATAAAGATAGGATTGCGTGAATTTATGATTGCGTTTTGAAATATTTTCATACTGAGCATTTAAGTGGAAACATAGAATTTTCTGATCTATTGCATATCTTTTATTTTGGATTTAGTCTCATTATACGTAAAAAGTGTTTCCGTCATAACTTCTATTTACTCTTGTTTATTTCTTTGTCATTTAAGAGGATGCCATACTGCGGAAGAAAATTTTAGTCGCAAATTCTCTTTCTTCTACATTACTAATTTAAAGGAAAGGAAAAGTTCAGGCAAACCTAGAATTTAACATGAATTTTCAATTGCTGAAAAAAATACTTCAAAATATTAAAATGTAAACAAATAATTAGAAGAGAACTTCTTTTTTGCGTACTCCTAAGTTATCATCTCATAATTTTTTTTTTCATTCGTACATTTTTAAATTTTCTTTTCAGTATTTAAAACTTTATGGCTTACTCTAGGTTTGTCTGAACTCATTTTTTCTATACTTTGAATTTTAAATTAGTAATGAAGAAGAAAGAATTTGTGACGAAAGTTTTCTGCCGTGGTATGGTGTCCTCTTAAAAAATTCTACTGCAAACAGAGAAAAGAAAAAATCTATAAAATTACAACACTTTTCGGAATTTATTCTTTAGTTAAAAAAGAGTAACGAGATATGTTAACCTTATAAATATGTATTTTATTCAACATAGAAGTAAAATTTTGATGCATTGAAATGGTGGAGAAATTAAATTATTTATAATAATTACTTTACAAAATGTACTTTTGTTTTCATTAATACATGACATCTTTATTTAGCATCTAAGCATTTCATAGAACTAAAATTAAACAAATAACGAAATGATTACAGCAAACTTAACTGAATAAAACATCGGCATAATGAACAGAATAAAACATCGGCATAATTAACTGAATAAAACATCGGCATAACAACATAAATTAACTGAAAAATAATAAAAGAAAACGATAAACTAATCAATGTAACTAGTAGTTAAGCTTTTCGTCGAAGTGGGGCGCTAAAACAGTTCTAGGCGATGGTTGCCATTTTGCAGCGTAGTAAAAAAAAGAAGAAGAAGAAAAAACCCGTATTGCTTTTTTATATGCTTGAATGTGTGAGAACTCTATATATTTCTCTGAGGATTTAAATTAATTATTACGGGAGGAAAAAACCTATAGCCAATCTGAATTCTCAGAATTATTTAACTCTAATATGCATTGTTAACTATAGAATTAAAATATAGAATATCTTCAAAATGGAAATGACTATTAGCAAAATTATTAACATATTGGAAACATTTCGTAGATGGAATGAATTTGCGGTATGTATTGATGTATTAGCGAAGTGAACTATCGACGAAGTACTCGTGTTAGAAAAGTAGCAAACAAAATCATTACGGTAACTCATCATATAAGATAAATTTAAGGAAAAGTTGTAGCTCTAATGGCTATTAATAGTTTAAAAACGAAAAACATAAGAGATTACATCGTGACAAACATCCTCCCACACAAACATTGTGAACATAAACTTTATATTAATTCCTTATGTAAGATAAATTTAAGCTTATGCTATCACAGAACTATCAGACGATAATCACGTGACAGTTTTCCTTAATTCTAAACAAGTGATCCTGGTTCCTATATTTTTCTCTTCTTTCATTATTTATAAATAGAAAGAAGAAAATTGTGACCTATTTTTGAAAGATATTTAATATTTTTTTCCTTAATAATCATCTAAATACTTAAAAGGTAATGATACTTCCACGTAGTAAACATTCATTTGTCACGTTAAAATTCTAAACCCAGCATTCAAAATTTCTGATAAGCATTATGTTATCTCTGAAATGTCAGACGATTATCACGTGGCATTTTATTTTCAATAAATACTCCCAAAGAAAATATATTTTGTTTATGTTTCTTAAATTAGATAAATCGTTTGACAACATGGATAAGTTTAATTTTTATTTAACAACATTTTCAACTCTCTTTCTTGTCTATAAGGGTGAAATCTTGCAATTTTGTCCACTTTCTAACTAGCTAGAGCTCTCTAATCTTGACCGAAGCACTTTGCCTGATGAAATGACAAGTTTTAATCTTTTCCTGACTACTACAAGCAAAATTTATCACCAATTATAGTTTATCGACTACCTAAAAGTCTCAAATCTCATCTGGAGCTCTTTGCTTAGACAATAAAAGCCTGAATCGTTTCCGGACCGCAACGAGTAGAATTTATGGTCAAATCAAATTTTGTCCACTGTCTGACTTGCCAAGATGTTTCAACTAATTGGGTATACTATAGCCTACATCACATGTCGTGTTATACCTACTAAATTTAACTAGTAAACAGCATTTTCTGCGAACCTGATTTCTAGCAACAAGTAAAAGCATCAAACGAAGTGTCTTGTTTATAAGTCGCTACTCGCCAGGTTGGAATTGTATTAGTCTAGTTCCTTTGGAAATAATTTATATTGTTGTTTTACCGAAGTTTATGAATTTAGTAAACATATTTAAAACTCAGTTTATTACTTAAACCTAAAGGTAAATGTTATTCCTAGTGAGTGGAAATAGTTGTGCTTTTTTCATATTATACCCAATTGGGTATAATATAAAAAAAACACAACTCCTTCCACTTAGTAGGAATAACATTTACCATGACGCAATGCTAAATTCTATGCCACTATCCACATAAATCAATTATTAATCAAAAATCGAATATCAATTACTTTTCTTTATAATGCAATAAAATCTGGCGAGCAGCTATTTAAACGATCAAACACTTCGTTTGTTTATTCGTGGCTTGAAGTTAGGCTCGCAGAAAATGCCGTTCATGGGTTAAATTTAGTAGGAATAACACAACCTGTGACGTAGGCTATAGTATACCCAATTGAATCGCTAAGCGTTGTGCTGGATTTTATTAAAAAAGTTTCAGTTTCCCTAGCAGATGCAAAAAAAATTTATCATCACGTTATCGCAAAATGGAATTTATCGTTCACCTAAAATTCGATTACTTACACAGTGATCAAAACTGAACTTAAACTTTGTGCTGGATAACAATTCAATACAAGTGTTAATCGTTTTCTAGTCGTAGTACTAACCCAATTAGAACTTAAGGTTCGTCGAAATTTCGATCACTTTCTGTTTAAAGTGCTAAAAATTCAACACTGGTGGCCGATACCATTACAAGTAACAATTGTTGATTGCAACGTTTATCTCCCTTTATGTTTTAATTAGTTTTTTTTGTTTTGTTTTTGTAGTTCCCCTTTTTTTACATAAAAAATACAAATGTCTGAAAAAGAGAAGAAAAACAAAAGTTTTAAACTCTATGTTTTTTTTCAAAACGTCTAAAACGAAGAAGAAATAATATATTTTTGTGGGACTTAAAATGAAAAGAGAAGAATATCCCTTTCGAAATCTGGTAAGGAAATAAACGTACGTCTATCGTCTACCTAACAAAATTATTTATCGTTTTTAGCGTCATTTTTAATAAAAATTTATTTCTTCTTCTTTAGCAGCACTACAGCCTAGTGCAGGTCCAGGCTTTCTCAGTCTGAATCTTCCAGGCTATTCGACTTGAAGCTAAATTTCTCCATCGATTCATGCTCAAAACTCCCAGGCCCTTCTCCACACAGTTCAATCACTTTGTTGAGGGTCACCCTCTCTTCCTTGTACCTTCAATCTTTGAAAACGTTAAGTTTTTTAGCTGGATCAGAATCTTTATGGCGAAAAACACGTCATCTGATTCTGTATAACTCTCTAAATTTTCGGTTTTCTATACTTATTATACACTTCATGGTTAGATAAACTTTTCCGTGTATTATTTTCTTTCACTGCTCCAAAAATTGACCGAAGGATTTTTAAAATTTTTTGTTATATCAAAAGCAAGTAATTTATTTTCTTCAACTTCATTAAGCTCCCAAATCTAGCTGCCATACAAAATAATCGGTCTAAAAAGTGTTTTATACAAACTTACTAATATTCATGGAGATGAATTAATTTTTTAATTGGTTCTTCAGTCCAAAATAACGTCTATTAGTCATCAAAATTCAATTTTAATTTATTTTATTTAATTGTTTATAATTTAATTGACTTGTATGTAACAAATATTTTAGTAAATGCAACTTTAAAAATAGTTATTTTCGTTGATTCTTAGACAAATTTATATTTGTACTTGTTTAAAAAAAAATTTTCTAATAAAACAAAAAAATTTCATGCAAAAGTGATTTTAATTTTTTATTTATTATTATTATTATTTGTATTTTACGTTATCTAAAATAAATATTTGAATATTGAGACTTGGGCATAAATGGATAAATACTTTTGAAACAACTCTTAAGAGAAGTTTGAGCAAACAATTGAACGATAACATAAATAAAAATTAGTCAATTGTCAGCTTGATACTAATATTAAACAAAGTAAATGTGTATTTCTAAAAGACGAATATAATGTTTAATTCAACAATCGTTTGAAGAAATTATTTAAATTAATTTTACACAAATTCTAAATTGTGCTCAATCTCTCAGGGCTAAATTTTATGCTAAGACATTTTTAAAATACTATAAGGCTCTGCCCCCTGCAGCATTGATATTTATCATTGTTTATTTCTGCTTAAATGTCAATGTTTTCCACAAAAACACAGACCATATTGCTTGATTAAAAACTTTATTCGCTTCAAAAATCAAGTAATGTCTTACCGCTTCAGTTTCTTGGAATTATTTGTTTAACAGAACATTTTGGTTTCAAAATGTACAATTATTTTAGCTTTATGTGAGAACATTTTGTTAACATATTAATCATAACAAAATGGATAATTACCTGCATTGGAAAAATAATAATTTGAACTTGAAAAAAAAATTTAACCTAAGAACCCTTTTCAAGTTTCTAAGCCCTTTAGTTTTTTCACAGCAAAATGTAATGCCAAATTGAACACCCAAAACAGCTGCATTAGCCCTAACGATTTCTCTATAGAGAGACTTAATTGTGCTAAAAATAAATAGTACACAAAGCTATGGAATATGTAATTAAAGTTTACAATTCTATGCATATTTGAAGTAAACATTATTTTTCACCTATTTTCAAAAGGACATTTTTTTAACTATTTAGCTATTAAAGAGTCCAACATTGTTTAAGTCATTAAAGTTTATCATATAAAATTACTTGGACAATTACATAGGCTAGAAACCNCAAAAAAAAAAATCTGACTTTTAACAAATACATAAAAATAAACAGTTCTTAGAAATTTTTTAACTTTGTTAAAAAATAAAATTGCTTTGATTTAATAAATTCAAAATAAGAAATAGAATGTCAAGAAAAATTATTTTTTTATAACAAATTTATTATTATTCAATATACTTAAATTCTGAGTCATTATTTAATTTTCTTTATAGGGGAGAGTGGGTTATGGGGTGAGACTTGGTACCTCAATTGTGTTAAAATTAGTTTTGTTTCTAAGCAGACACACTCTGAATTACACTTTACTAGTAATTAACATAACGATCTTTTGAAACTTTCATACGAAATATAAATGTATTAAGCCATTTCTAAATTAATTAAGGTCAAAAATAAATAATATTTATAATAATACAAATTGTTTTTATACTCTATTACAACTGAAAATTTTAATACCAAATTAATATTAAAATAAATTGTAACAAAATAAGACTGAAGACCTCTTCAATAATATTTCATAAAAATGTTAATACTTTTAAAAAATTCATTAATTCTATAATAAACCTCAACTGGAATTTTTTAATGTGTTTTAATAAATTCATTTGTTAATTGTTCCAGCAATTAACATAATGATCTTTTGAAGCTTTCAGTCACAATATAAATGTATTAAGTGATTTCTAAATTAATTAACGTTAAAAACAAATAATATTTTTTATAACATAAATTGTTTTGATACTCTATAACAACTAAAAATTTCAATACCAAATTAATATTAAAATAAATTTTAACAAAATATAACTGAAAACCTCTTTAATAATATTTCATAAAAATGTTAATACTTTTGAAAAATTCATTAATTCTATAACAAACAACTGGAATTTTTTAATGTCTTTTAAGAAATTCATTTGACTTCTTTCGTGATAAGATATAGGAGAAAGGAAAACTATATTTTACTAATATATTTATGTCTAAATTATTAAAAACCAAAACACAAATAACAGAAAAAAATGCAAAATAAATAAATTTATTGTCTTTACAAGTATGAATAAAAAAAAATTAAACATTAGTTACATAAAATCTATATCCATAATTAACAAATATAGCACAAATGGATGGCAGTCTGTTTATAACGATGGCTATATATCATGAACTATCTTTAGATACAATTGATGTAACAGTTCTAAGTACATAAGGTAATGATGTGGGATCTCGGTGTAATCTAAACAAAATAGTTAAACAATATTAACGAAATTGATCAATAATGAGGATACATTTAACTTTTCACATATTCATTAATTGAAATATGTAGATTGCAAGTTTAAATTGTATGCATGTAACCTTCATTCAAGGTCACTCACTCAAGAAGTTAAATAAAAAATTTAAATACAAATGTTTAATTAAGTAATGAATTAATTTTGTTGTAATTTTCATACTAAATGTAATATGAAAACCTTATAATATATCATTTATTTTATTTAAAAAAAAACATCAATTATAGCAAAAAAAATTAAATTATGTTTTAGTGAAATAGTTCATTCCCTTGTATTATTTATATTATTACATTATTTATATTATCTTAGTATATTTTTACTGTCAGGAAAATCACATAATAGAATCCAGTTTCCCACATCAATTTCCATATTTTTTTTTAAATGTAATAGGAAAATTTTATAATGTAGCATTTTTTTATTTAAAAAAAAACATAAATTATATTTCTATGTGAAAAAAACTTACGGTTTAGTAAAAAAAATTAAATTATGTTTTATTGAAATAGTTCATTCCCTTATATTATTTATATTTATATTATTACATTAATTATATTATTACATTATTTATATTATCTTAATATATTTTTATTGTCTGCAAAATCACATGATAGAATCCTGTTTCCCACATCAATATCCATATTTTTTTTTGGTTGCAATCAGTATAAATCTAATAAAACTCTTAAAAGGTATTGTTTTCCTGTAAATATTTTTTTTATCAAATTATCCCAAGTGTAAAGGTATTTACCTGAAATTTTTATTTTTCTTATTTTACTCTATTATTACACTTTCCATTTTGATTGTTTTCTAAATTAAGAGTTTGAAACCAAATGAGTTGCTGGTTTATTTTATAGTAATTCTAAGACATTTCCTTGGTACGCTACATTTTAAGATAAACTTATTTGAATTGGTGTCAAAACTAATTAACCATTTTATAATTATTATTTTTTGGAATAAATTACATTAATCTGCTATTATAGACTACAGTTAAAGAGATTCGTTAAATGATTTAGAACTTATCAATTGGCTTCATGCATAATGTGAAGCTTGCACAAATTGTATATAATATAACAACCTGCTTAAGAAGTGAAAATATTAAATTACGGTTGTGAACTCAAAAATTTTTTTATAACAATATGCCTTTAATTTTCAATCTTGTTTTAAAAAATTATTATTAAGCAAAATTATTTATGTTTACTAAAATATTTTAATAGAATCATAAAGGAAATCGAATTCCTCAAAATCTTTCATTATATTTACTAAACAAATTTGATTCAAAATAAACATTTAATTAAAAAAAAAATTATAACAGATATATTTCAAGTAAAAATTTTCAACTTTAGAAGAAAAGACTGTTTTACGCTTAGAAACAATAATTATTGCAAAGTGTTCATAGGGAATGGTGAGTGGTGGTGAATGGGGGGCTCAGTCCCCTAGTAAATATATGTTTTATTAATATCTGAGCAGAGAGTGATATTAATTAAATTTTATTTTAACTAAATCTAAACTCTTAGAAATTAAATAGCATTCTGTTTTTGAAAAATCTACATAATATGAATATTAAAATTAGAAGCAATATAATTCAACTCTCACTTCTTAATTATAGTATCAGGGAAGGTTTTGTACAATATATAAAAATTAGGCAAGAGTTCAAAAACATTCTGTATCTCAAAATAAATAGGTAAAAATAATAACTGCTTTAATTATTCATAAAATTATCTATGTCACATTATTATGATAAATTTGTTCTCGTAAGTGATTTTAATTTATATACTATATATATAGATGAATATATGCTAAAAATAACCTAACTTTTCGTTCTCTTGGAGAGAATTTTATATCTAAAATAAAAACAGAATTAGATTTTTTTTCAAAATTTTCCACAACAATTTTAAAGAATATTTGTTAACCTGTGATGTCATTTGAGGAAGAATTTTATTTTAAATTTTCAATATAAGAATTCTACATAAATGTATCTTAAAGAAATTGGTAATTAATAGCATTTAGAAAATACTTTCACATAGTAAATATTTAGTATACCATACATATGAAAATTGTTGATGAACATAATGTAATCCTCATTTGTAATGATATAAGGGAATAAAAGGTAAAGTTGTCTCCTTTGTGCACTAATATTTCCATATAGCGTTGAAACGGAACAAAATATCCAATCGGGATTTGTCTGTCCCAGTTAATATAACTTTCTAATTATTATTACCAATTAGCATAACATGATTAATTAAAGTTAAACGTCGACTATGAAGCTATTGATATTTTGTTCATTGATATTTTGTTCAAAGATATCATTTTATGACCACTCTTTGTTCTTTGATTCTCAGCTTTCTAACTCAATAAATTTAATGAGTACATTTTTTCATATTTGTTCTTTGATTCTCAGCATTCTAACTCAATAAATTTTGCAAGTACAATTTTTCACATTTGTTTTATGATTCTTAGCTTTCTATCTCAATAAATTTTACAACTACAATTTTTCATATTTGTTTTATGATTCTCAGCTTTCTATCTCAATAAATTTTGCAAGTACATTTTTTTCTTATTTGTTCTTTGATTTATTAAAATCTCTTAACTACTTGTAAAACAAAGTACTAAATGCAAAACTTTAATTAATATTTTATAAAATGTTGATATTTTTTCAAGATGTTAAAGTTCTGACAGGTTCTATATTCATATAATCAATATTTTATAAATTGTATTGAAAATAATATTAACTTATTTTATGTGGTTTAGTAGTTTTTTATTTTATTTTTTTATTATATTATTTTATTTTTATTATGTTATTTTACTTTTTTTATAGATATATATAAGAGATGAGGCCTTAACAATTGTGAAATTAAAATCGTGTGGGATGAAATTTCATGCATCAGATGCTGACACATCTAAATACAAAATACACAATTGTAAATACAAAAATATTGGATTGTGAATAATAATCAAAAATTTTAATTAATTTCATTATAAATGTGGTTTACACTTCAATATTTATAATTGAAATTTAGAAATGAAAAATATATGTGAAAATATTTTATTACTCTTTATGTTTTTGTAGTACAATTTCTGCTCTAAAAGTATTATCAGTATATTTACCAAATACTGATGGGAGTTTAAAGTCCCAAGTAAAAAAATTTATAAAAAAATTAGAAAACGATATTGAATATTTAAAAATACATATGTCAAAGTATAAGATAGCCATGACTTAATAGAACAAAAATTTTTTAATCATTTTTAATGTTTTTTTAATAATTCGGTGGATAAAGGGTTAAGTGTAGAGTCCTTTTTGAGTCATGTATACAAACGTTAAATACTATTATAGAAGCGATAGTTTTTTATATGGTATACAATATAAGAAAAAATATAACATAAGTACATGAAAATAACAACGAAAAAAAATATTATGAACAGAAGACGATGACAAAAAAAAATGATTACACAAAATATTATAGACAAAACTATGTGGTAATTAAATAAAACATTAATAAAAAAAACTTAATGCCAATATTTAAAAATGAATAATACATACTTTCCGCTCTCTAAAGTTCTGGAAGGACTTAGCACTATTGAGGCAACACTAAAAGAAAATTTATTCAAATTTTGATACTTGATGCATACAATCATAATTATTACTATTAAATCAAAATATTAGAAAAATTAATAAATTGAAATTAATGTATAATAATTAACACTCTGTTTTTTAAGCACATGCATTTCAGACATTGCAATTAAATTATTTATTAGTATGCAACTGTTACAAACCTAGGAGAATTTAATATTGATAGTAACTCTGATAAACGTTCCGTTACTATCTTCCATGGCTCTTTATAATCATTTCCAAAACTCAATACTTGCTGCTGAGCTTTGCTTAAGCATAATACAGCTCTAGGAACTTGATCTTGATTTCTTGCAGCAAGCTGAAATAATGTACATTAATTAATTTATATGATATTGTCCATTTATTTGAAATTTAATTCAATTATCTTTTAGAGAATATATTTTGAAATAAGAAAATTTAGCAGCTATGATGTACTTTTTTAAAGCCACTTCTTTTTTCATTGTGTGCTTAATTTATGAATTGGTGAAATTAAAAATTTAATTAGGCCAAATGAGAATTCCCTCCCCACCCTAACCCCTAAAAATATAGTTTGATGGTGCCCCTGGATACTAACCCCATCAACTCTTAATTATAATTATCTATTTATCATTAAAATGAGCTTATTTTTTAAAAAATTATATTATGTATTACATACTATTTCAGAGCAAAATTTTTTAAAAATATACCATTTAAGATTGACAAATGCTTTCCGCTTTTAATTGAAGAATCCGCTTACTTGAATACAATTGGCTGGAATAAATGTCAATCATTGAAGTGGGGCTGACTGTGCATGTCATAAATATATTCATAGTAAAGAACTCAACATGAATAGGATTTTGGAAATTCATAACATTAGTCTTAGAGATAAGAATATAGTAGAACCTCCGATTATCCGACACCTAATCCTTCGCTTATCCAATGCCTGATCTTTCCGATACCTCATTCGATACACGTACCAAGACACTTTTCATCACTATCTAATGAATGCTGCGACTATTCCAAATTGTAACTGCTAGAAAACAGCGATAGAGATATTTAAGCTAGTATCGCTTTAGTTACCTGTCCACTATAAATGTATCAAAGATCTAGATCAATTAGTCATTGGTAGTAACTAATTGTAATAGGTTTAAATTTCATGGGGAAAAAAGTGTAAGCAACTGATTGCCTATAACAACTGCGATATTTCAGCATTTGAGAGATGGATAATAGGCAAGTGATAGAGTTTCGCCTCTGTCTAAGACATCTCAGTTCATTAGAAAGCAAAAAATGATCAACAATTTTTGTTCTTCACGAAATCGATTTAAAAAAAACTCTCCCGATTATCGGACATAGCATAGGCCGCATGGGTGTCTAATAATCTAGGTTCTACTGCAATACAAAATAAAATTGAGTAACAAATTATTGAATGTCATAAAACATTACAGATGTGTCTAGCTAAAACTCTAGATAAACCTTTATGTTTTGCTAATTTTCAATAATAAAACAATCGAATAAGTAAGAGTAAAAAATAATTGCATTTACTTTGGAAAGTGTTGTGAGTGAGACACTTAAAAGTTTCAAAAACTTTTCATCAGAACTCCTTTGCAATGCTGATAAAGCCTCATAAGTAGTACTCTCCAGATTTTCAAAGAACAGAGCTATAACTTCAGGTCGACAGATATCACTATATTCGACAGATACGTATTCTCCAACAGCCCAAATCTAAACAATGGTAAAAATCCAGAAAAGAATAAATAAATAGTATTTATTCTCAGTCAATGTAATTAATTGAGCAATATTAATAATCTCCAATTAATATTATAATTACCAATAAAAATTGGTCATTGTAATAATTTTCAATGCATTTTATTAGAGCTTTCCAATACTAATGCATAATGATGACTTTCCACGCTACACAATGTCAGATAGGCAATTTATTAAATTTGTATTTTTGGAATGATATTAAAATTTATGAACTCAATATTTCAAAAATTATCATTCATCAATAGATATGATAATATAAATATATATACATAAAAATAGTGGTTTAAATCTATTTTTTTTAAATCAAAACATATGTAAAAATTTGTCCTTTATTCCACATCCTTTATTTCTTAAATTCTACTAGTCTCTGCAATTACAAATTTATTATCACAACACATAAACATATACACATAACAACACATAAACATATTAGTTAGAGTTGAAGATTCTATAAATTATGCAAGTGACCAAACTTTATTAGCAATTATTACAAATAATATGATTAATGTGCCTAATTTATCACATTTACCAAAAAACATGGTTATTATTAATAATCGCAGGTTATTATAAATGATAGCCAGATGTATTACTTTAACAACAACAAAATATATGGTTTCATTTATACCAATTAAAAAATATATTGTTGGCATAATTATTATATATACAGTAAAACCTCGCTACAACAATATTTTGCGGACCAAATAAGAATATTGTTGTAGAGGGATATATTGTTATATCGAGGGCCCACATAATTCTGGGACGCAATTAGATTTTTTGAAATTTAATGTTATATATTCATTAACTATAAATATATTTATATATTATCGAAAAAATTAATTTGCAAAGTGTTTATTACGGTTAAGCATTAAAAACAATGGATATAAATACAGAACATAAGATTGTAAACTTACCTTAAAAAAACATTTTTATTNATAAATTATATATATTAAAATTATACCAATTAAAAATTGGGTGAAATAATTACAATTTATGAAAAGTCTAGGGAAAAATAAATAATATAAATATAATGGTATAAATACCATTTTTTGAAATAAAAGTGACAATTTAATAACATGTTAAAAAATAATTATTAAAATAAAATTAAAAGACGTTTTTTTAATCATTCAAAATTCTACTTTACTATGTCAATTTAGAATTCATATGGTTAGGAAAATTTTGGTAGCATGAGTAAATAAAACTTTGGAAACTTTTCTCTTGCTTAAAAAATTATAATCTAATAAACTCTAAAAGTCATACAAAATTTTTGTACAAACCACATGAATGAAATTTTGTTCGGCAACATAGTAGTTCTTAAAATGACTGATATAAGACGCTATATTCTTCGTACAGTGAAAAACAACTTCAGGGTGAAGCTCAAAAAACTGTAAAGTGGCATCTGATAAAACACTAAATGTAAAAGAAAAAGACAGGATCAGGATTAAGATAAAGACTTGGGTACATAAAAACTAATTAAAACTTATCCTATAATAAATACATAATTTTATTTGGCAAAATTAAAATTATGAAAGAATAATATTTTCATAAAAAATATTTTCAACATTTCATTTGGTATAATTTTGTAGTACTACATTAACTAAAAAAAAATTGTGATTAGACCTTTATATTTCTAATTGACAAAGTTACTCCATGGGTTTTTATGCATACTGGTAGATATATAAATAAAAGAAGGTAGGTTCATAATTTTTTAGTTTTGTGGTGTGTGATTCTAACACCTCAAAACACAAGTCGAACAAGTTTAAAGAACAGCTATTTATCGAATTTCACGATTTAACGAATTTTATAAAGTTAACGAAGTAGATGTATAGGAAAGAATGAATAGCGACTCTGACACAGAAGTCGATAATAATGAATCTCCAGTAAAAACTGATAATTTGCACAGTTTGGAAACTGTGAAAACTTACCTAATGCAGCAAGATGTAAATGTAGGAACTTTTTAAAGTAAGAAATCAAGGAAATAAGCAAACTTTACTCAAGAAATGCTTTAAAATTTCATATTAATCAGTGCATAATAATTTGCTGTATAAGCTCCTGAATAAAAAGTGTAAGATTTCTATTTATTTTGTGTATTTGCTAATCAGAAATGCTTGGATATTCCAAAAAGATCAGTCATCTTTTTTTAATTTTTAATTTAGAACAGGCAAGTATATTTAATCTTGTAAAATATTTCGCTTCAAACTATCATACTTTCTCCAAAGTTTATCACAGACAAAAATAAAAAATGGTGAGGCAGAGTTTCAGACTTTAATAGGGAGATTAATAAAACATTGGCAAAGATATACATCACAAAAAGACTGAAATCTATGTCATCAGGTGTGTAAACACCTTCGCATGTTTTTGATGCCTTAGGTTTTCCTCTTAAAGAAAAAAATTCTTGAATTTAGGATTGAGGATAGAAAGAAACTGTTCAAGTAACTAAATAAATATCTTTTATGAACACGTAAAATGTTCTGTTATCAGAGCGGGCAGATTTAAAGCTGAAGTTTGTTTCACTTATGTGGACTCAGATGAACAGTTGAGAGTGTTAAACAAGTTTTCTAAATTAGCTCCAGTTTATCACATTTTGTACTGTTTTACTCTTTTTAGTTTCTACATTCTCTTATAGTTTTGGCCACTAAAAAACTCCTTAAACTAGATCTTTTAAAAATTTACGTGAAAATAGGGAAGAGCAAAAATTTTAGTCTAGTCCAGGGGTCTGTACAGACATTTTGTGAAAGGTCCCGTTTTTGCAAAATTTTGAAAAAACTATTGATAATTTGTGAATATAAAAAAGCGCTAAGTCACATTCTTTCAACCGAGGGTCCTGCTTTTGTGATTTTGTGCAAATATGGTCTTGTTATTGCAAAAATTGCTAAAAAACCTTTTCAAGAAGTTTTTAAATTGCAAATAGATACAAGATTCTGCTCAACAATTGCTGCTACTAAATTAGAGATGCAACATACAAATATTTGGTATTCAGCCTATACTGCTCAACACAGAATATTCATTTCGGACGAATAATGGAAACAAAATCACTCACATTTTTAATAATTTCAATTGACATTTTTTAAATGAAATTTATCATATTTTACTTAAAAAATTGACAGAAATTAATTTTTATTTACATACTATTCCATTAATTAATTTTATGAATAATATAAATTAATCAATTATTTATTTACAAAAAAAATGATGATTTAATATTAATAAGAATGTGCACACAATGTTTGTAAAAGAAGAAATATTTTCTTAGAATACTAAATTTGGGATTTAAATTTAGGGAAACTTAGTTTGTCTCAAACCATCTCCCCCCCCCCCTGGGGAAGGGCTTATTCGATTTACAAAACAATAATGAAGATAAACAAATTTGTGAAGGGTCCGTTTTTATGAAAAGTTTTGTGAAGGGACCATTAACGGAGTCAAATTCCTTCTAAACAGAGTACCTTTAGAACTGAAGTTTCATGACCTGATATAGAGTGATGGTAAGTTGTGGCAGCTTTACATATTAAAGGAATTAAAATATATATTCTTAATCTTATATATACTCAATAGGTACTTATATTTTGCAAATTTTTATAACAATACTTGAAGTATATGACGTGAAAAATAGTTATTTAAAAAAAGACTATAAATAAATACTTTACATATCAATCAAGTTAAAGAAATTTAAAAATAATCAATTACAAACCAGTGAATTTCATCAGAATAGTTGGCAGGAAATATCAACGGCAGTCGTTCTAAAATAGCTGTTATCAAAAATGAAGCAAGAGAAATATCAGCATATTGTAGTATAACTTCAAAATAGCGTCTGCAAAAAATAAAAGGTTTAATAAAAATACTGTAAAATTCTTGTAAAATAAAAAAAGTCATTATACACTTCACATCTTACTTTAACAGAGGTACTACAACTTCAGCACAGTACAAAACACGACTTTTTGATCCCACAGTAGCCAATACTTGATGTAATATCACAGCACTAAAATGTGATAAGTAACTAAGTAACAGATAATCATTAAATTAAAACAATACAATTAAATTTTTAAACAAATAAATAAAGATAAAAAACTTTAAAACTTCCTAATTATTTTTCTTGTCTTAAAATATAACGCCCTAGTTCCATAGAATGGCAATGAATTAAATGTTTAAGAACTCTAAAAGAAATTAGTAAACAAAGTGTCACAAATGACTTAAATAAAAATTACTGTATTTCCCTGAAATGTATGAATTTTTCACAGAGATGTAAAGTTGAATAGAAGAAAATGATAGCTAACGATTTAGAGGTGAGAATCTGTTTAAAAACATATTTTCCCCACTAAAAATATTTATAAAAGAAAATTAATAAATCAGAATTGTACACTAACAGCTACCTAAAATATGTTTTCAATTCAAAATTTTGAGATTTTTCAGAATGACAATCACATATTCTCCACTAACCTATTCTTTTATAGGCACAGCAATTAGCCAAAACTAATCCAAAAAAGCAAACATTTAAGACATGTTTATTCAAAGCATAAAAGTTTAAAAAGTGTCATTCTAAAATTGTCATTGCCAAGATAAAAATCCATTATATTAATAATAGAGTGAATTTTGGAAGCCATATTCAATATGCAGTAAAAATCAGAAATTTTACAATGGGACCTTTCTTTGACTATTTTGACCTTATGAGAAAGCAAAAAATATTTAATTCAAAACTAATTAATCTTAATATTTAGGTCAATAGTAATTTATTATAAGGTAAATTTATATCAACAGGTGATATTTTACTAATTTGTAACTAGGACTTAAAATAAAATTCACAAACTGAAAAGAAAAAAAAATTTGCTACAAGTTATTTTTTTTCACTTAAATTAAATATAAATATTTTTATTAACTTCAAAAAAATCTAGTTTAAATTGTAATGTACTTTTTGAAGATCAAAATGCTATTCAAAATTTTTTGTCATTCTACATACAATTACAGTGTATTTAATTATACAAACACAATTAAATAAATACTACACCTCTTATGTATATCACTTATTCCACTTGTTTTTCGAAGTAAAAATTTAATAGCTGATGTTACTTCTGGTTTCTTCACCCCCTCAACTAAAGAAGGGTCTTTTAAAAGTCCAGATTCAGAACCACTTGCCTTGCTATCAGTCAATATAAGAACAGCAGTTAAACAAGGAAGATCTAAGAGCGAGTGAAAAACCTTGAAATAATTAAAGAATAGTAGTAATGAATGTAGCTTAATCATAATACATAAAACAGAAAAAAGACAATATTTAAAATTAATTTTCAAGCTTAAATAAAAAAGAAGAAATAAATAATATTTTTTTTAATAATCACCTCAATAGATGTATTTTGAGATAAAAATGATGGAAGTAATTCTAAGAAGTCATCAATAAATGTAGTTGGCCTCCAAGCTAAAACCTGTAATATTTTTAAGTAATGATAATTTCAGTTCATAAATTTATGTTCACAGAGTAAGCATAAATAAACAACACTATTTTAATTAAACTGGTTCTTGTTGTAAAATTTTTTTTTCTCTTCTACGATACACGATATTTATTTGAAGCTTTAGAAATTAATGCTCTTTAAAAAATTTACAGCATAAAAGGATTGCTCTACTTTAATTGTAGAGAATACTGAAATTAAACCATCTTAATTTTCATACAAAAAATTTGAAGCAAAATCATAAAATCTTATATTAATACATAAACTCAGGTTATAAACAATGAAGAAAGTTATTATTCATTTTGACTATTTTTAAATAACATGATATTGCTTATACTTTCTTTAAATTCTTATTTAGTTAGCAATTTTAATAGTCAGCATTATAAATAGATAGTAAAATATCTTATTCAGAAAGTACTTAAAAATTACTCTATTATGATGATTCAACGTAAAAAAAATAATAGTAGCAATTTAAGTAGTTAGCATTATGAATGAATAATAGTACATTCAAATTTTCTTTTCAGAAAGTAACTAAAACTACTTTAATATGATGTTTCAAAGTAAAGAAATAATATTAGCAATTTTATTAAAATAATGGATAATGAAATATCTTATTCAGAAGGAAACTAAAAATGTTCTATTATGATGTTTCATTGTAAGGAAATAATAATGGCATATTGTAATTTACTGAGTTAATATTTAGTAAATTACAATGTGCCATTATTCTCATTTCTTTAAGAAAAATTGGGAAAAATTTAGAATTTTTTGCCCACAAGTATTTCATTTTTAAAATAAATATTAACATATTATTAATTACTTTATTTACATAAAAAGCATTTTGTTAATAGATAATAATTATTTTAAAATAGATGAGAAAACAAAGTAAAAATATTAACAAAGTATGAATATAAATGATTAATATTTAACATGCCAATGCTAATTTTAACACACATATGAAATTTAAACTAACACGCAATTGAAATACGTATTGTAAATAATCCCACTAAGCAAGTTGATTGTACAATGAAATCATGTGGAAGAGTAATTAAATTAAAATTTTTTGAAAATTGTAATTTAAAGTAAAAGTTCTTATTGAGTTCAAAACATTTTAATATGCAAGTATAAAAAAAGTATTTTGAAATTAGAGAAAAACTATAAGTCTATCTTACCTTTAAAAATGTAGGAAAATACTTTTCTAATATGCTACTATGATAACATAGTTGTGATAGATTATCCTTCATTAACTGTAAAATTTCAAATGTTATATAATTGTCCTTATAACACACATTAAGCAGATCACAGAAGAGGTAAGTATACAAACTGTCTGGTTTATGCATGACTGAACTACCTAAAAAAATTTAAAAAGAAGGAACAAGTTAATATTTAAATTTCTTAACTTAAACTAAGGTAAAACAAAAGTAAGAAAAGTACAAAAAATATCACTATTTATAAATATATATACAATGGATTTATAAATCGCAGATGCCATAGCATCTAACCTCATAGCTAATGTACCATGTTTTAGTAAAAACATAGAAGCAAAAATATATTATAATTGGTAGCAGATCCTAGAAATTTCCCATTATTGTAGACCTTTCTATGTATGTAAATGAAATTGTATACAATGTAGTGAAAGCGTAGAAATTAAAAATTAAAGATCATTAAATAAATGCAGCTACAAAATATGCAAAAAAAAGAGGTTGATAAAGAAACAAACACATAGTTGGTATCGGGCACAATTTCATAAATTATAATACTACCACACCTGGTTAGAAAGGAAAGAAAACAATGTAAAGGGAGGATGGAAATTGTTAATGAACATGGGAAAGAGTTTGAAGGTCAAAAGTAGTGCTATGTCACACCTATAAGTAGGCAAAACCCAAAATACTTAATGCGCTATTTATACAAATGAAAGTTTGTATATACAGAATAATAAAAAAAACAAGAAGCAAAGTTTTAAAAATAAAAATTTAATGCCCAACACAGCTGTTAAAAAATAATTTATAACACACCGTAAATTTTTCTGAATTGCTTAAAAAAAAAATTTAAAAAACTATGCTACAAAAATTTTTTTTTACAAATTATTTTACATTTCTGTGTGAAATATATCTGTTTCAATTGTGTATAACAAGTTTAAGCTCCTATGGTGACTCAAGAAACATTTAAAACAATAAATAGCAATTTTTTAGCATGTATAATAACTTGAGAACTATTTACATAAGTACAAAACAATATAAAATAACAGTATGATAGAAACCTACCATGATTCATGAAAAACTGCATAGAGCTGGCCATCACAGCAACATCTTGTGCTTCAGGATCTTTCGATGCATTAGAGAAAGTGTAATCGTATATGCGTCTAATAATGGGGAAAATGGAATGAACAATGCCAGAATCCATTAAACATATTATGTTGAAAAGATGGATTGCTTCAATGACACACTAAAAGATAACAAATGAGAATTATTTACAACTTTTTTCAAAATAATCACAATGATTATGAGTTACATGAGTATGTTAAATGATGAATCTGCGCCTCCCTAAAGTGGTCGTAAAATTTACGACCACTTACAAATACAATTTACGACGTAAATTGTATTTAAGTATAATAAGACGTAAATTGTATTTAAGTATATAGTACAAAATACATTGATAGTGTAGATTTAGGGTAAAAAATAAAACACCTTTCTGTAAGATGCTTAACTTTGCGCAAGTGTAAGGTAAAGCCGAAATAAAGACTTTCAAACATAAGTCCATTTTAAATTGTAGATATTTATATTCACTATAAATATACAACTTGAATTTGAACAATATAATAATAGTTTATTGAATGAACATAAGTTCAAAATATTGCCTTTCATTGCTAATGCTAACCTAAATAAATAAAAAGATTTAGTAAATAATTTCGAAAAAATATATTTTATGAAATATCTTCAATTGGTTTCAAAAAGTTTTTCAGCTCAGTATAATCGTATATTATCATATCATATATCACAGAATCATTCAAATAAGTATAATTTTTCTATAACTGTAATTTTGTTCATAGTCTATACAGTATGGCATAAATAAAACTTATAAAACCATTTAGTTATTTAAATCTGAATTATTATTTAAGCCATGGCTGTTTTTTTCTTCTTAAAGTTGAGTTCAAGAAGATGGGAGGAAAAAAACAATATCATAAGAGAATGGAAATTAAATACTCGTAGAAATTATTAAAAAGCCTGATAATTTTAAATTAAATTAGATTGCTCTGGTTTTTTTTGTGATCACTAGAAGTTGAAAGAGCATTCTGCCTCAAAATCTTTTACCTGGGAAGCATTTCGGCATATTTTTACCAATTATATAAGCAATAAAGCATATAAAAGAAGAAAAATAAAATAAAATGTTAATGAATGAGCAGTTAATTAATCTTAATACATAATTACACCAAGTTAAAACTTTACTAAAATTGATTATTTGATTTTATGTGTTACTATAAACTTTATTTGGAAAGATTATTAAAAAGAATGTAAAAAGGATACAGAAAGAAGGAGTATAAAAAGAAAAACTGAAGAAGGAAATTTTCAAGTGTTGAGAAAATAAGTAAAATATTTAATAAAACGAAATCACTTTAAATAAATTATAAAAAATATTTATTTTACGTTAAGTAGACTATAAAAAACTAGTATATTGTTTTAAAGAAATTAAAAATTATAAATACATACAGCTTTTTGAAACTGAGCCATACTGTCTGAAGCAGTACCTGTTAAAAGCAAATATAAATAAATAGCAGGTCATTAAATTTAAAAAAAAAATAATAATTTTTATAAAATCGAAACTTTAAAGTTAAAAACTATAATTGTGTTTCATTTAAACAGCAAATCAAATAAAATTGAGTTTTTAATTTTTTTGTTAGAAATTATAAATTATTTTGTAAAACACTCTTTATGATTTATAGTAAATGCTGGGAATGCAATTCAAATATATTTGTTTCTTAACATCCATGTTTATGATGTCTCATCAATTTATGTGTGTACTATAATTTTCTAAGGACTTATGCGGCTTTTCCACTTGCCAAACTTTTTGAGAGAAACAATCAACATCATTGGGTTGGATCAATTAGCCTAATTTCAGGTAAAGCCTATTTTCAATAAATCATCATTTACAGGTCTTTCCCTCTATTTCTAATTGGTCCTTCAATGTTTATTTGATCTTTCTTTGATAGATTTAAGGTGAGGTGCTTCAGTCCTTCCCCACAGCCTATCCATTAAAAATAAGATATTTTTAAAATTTAAAATCAATATATGCTTGATCTGATAATCATACCCTCTATGCAAAAGAATAATTTTAGACTTCTAGTGTAGTGAGGCCTGTCTCTAACTACTAGACAAAAAGATGATAAAGATTGCCAAAATTTAAATATTAAGATTCTGCTGCCTGATTGTGATAACTACAAAGAATCAAGTGTACATCACAACAACACCTCCATTACAAATTCTAAAATGTTTTATTCTATTAACACACATATAGTTCAATAGATTAGGTTTCCTGTTCTATTGAGATAAAGTTTTTAAAAAAATGATTTTGTTCAATTACTCATAGCAACATTATTAAAAAAAAAAAAATTTGAAATTCTTATTTTGTTTTTGGCTCTTATTAAAAATCATTAATTATTTTTTACTTAAGAAATTACTTAGCATTAGTACAAAAATTAAATTCTTAACATTTTAGAACCCTAGATAGTTGTTTTGTATTCACTATTTTAAATGCAAATGTAAACCATACGATTTTCGCAGAAAATGTTTTATAACCTATTTACTTTTTAATAATTGTGAAGCGATAACTAAATATTTTATCAAAATGGGGCAATATCATGCAAATATTTAATTATATAATAGGAAAGAACAATTTCAGTTTTAAGTTTTTAATTTTAAATAATGATAACCAAAATAAATACCTAATATTAACAGAAAATAATATTAAGAAGAGATAATAAATAAGCATTACTAATTCATACCATAAAATAAATAAAAAATTATTTACATATAAAAATCCTCATAATTTTTAATATATTAAGCCAATGACAACTAAATTTATTTAGATTTTCTTTGTTTATTAATGATCATATCATATAATTTTTCTGTTCTTTTTTCTGTAATGTTTATGTTTTTTCTGCGAATGCACGAGATGTTGAGGCCACAATTATTATTTTAAGATGCATGAAAATTTTTGATACACAATTCTTATACTAACGTCGATCCACTTGGTCAATAATCCTCAAACAATATTCTCTAATCGATAAACTCAGCTCTTCCGATCCATAGTTACCAACAGCAGTCAGTCTTTGCTTAGCTGGAAAGAAAATTGGTGTTAAAAAATTAAACATAATAAATTTTTAGCATTAGATTTCAAAAATGTAAATATATTTACATCCTCTTCCTTCAACTTCATTCGAGATGCATAAATAGGATCTTAGCATTGAAAATACCTGAATGTTGCGGAAATATTCTGTATTTATAACTGATGCTGTAAGTAATAAAATAAGAATAATAAGCAACAGAAAATATTAACCTTTTCAGCCAACAACTACATTTGTAGAAACATGTGTACAAATATATTTCTGTAAAGTGTATAATACATTTAAAAAAATTAATGTTTCCTTAACCTTAGCAAAATAAACAAAATTTCCCCTTATTAATCATTTCACATTATTTATGGGCTATATTTATGACATTTTGCATTTAAGTTATGGTAGGTATTTTTTTTAATGATAATACAAATAAAAAATGCTCAGTTATTTATAATGAATTCAGTATCGTTTCAGTTATATTATTTTGAAATTCCTATCTAATTGAACCAATATATATATATTTTTAATTAAAGCTTTCTTATGAACTAGACATCACAATTCATCACAATGAACTAGACACACACTCTGGACTTTTAAAATGCTTTCAGATATATAATGGCTAAATACAAAAGTATGCACATTATTAATAAATTTTAAAACTGTTTATTTTTGCACGTGTCATTAATTATTAAGAGCTACTTACTTGTTGTATTCGGTCGCGTTTTCTACCATTTTACATATACCTATTCAGCTATATTCTAAAAAATTAATTTAGTCAATATTTTTTTATATAAATTATCAAGCTTAGTTATGCACTGTACACCAAAAGTCAAACAATATAGAAAGACTCATCGGCCTGTTATTGAAACCACATACTTTGTAAAGTAGAATATTGCATTCTACACTTATTTATTCAACACTTGATTAACTGACACTCTCCTAACACAAGAAGTCCATAAATATAATTGAGACTTTTGACTTTATTCAAAGGTGAAAGTTTATAATATCTTTAATATATTATTAATAATATATTTTGCATAAAATTTTTAAAGTTTTAAAAACAGTGCAAAAATTTGCATAGTAGTCACTATTTGTATCATTCATTAATTACAGATTTAAACAACACATAAAATTTGTGCAAAGATATTGCAGTTTCCTGTGATCGATCAGCAATCAAATGATATCATGTAATCCATAAATTCCAATGGTATTAATAGTGCTGCAACATTGTGAAAGGGCATATATACACAAACCACATTGCTAAAATTATCTAATAATACAAACATTTAAAAAATTAATATCTTCATTATTTTTTATCAAACACTTTTAACATATCACTATTTTTTATAATTTAATGTATAATTTAAATTTTTTTCACTTATAAAATATACCCAATTAACCCACGATGTTTAAATTTTGAAAGCACTTCTGATTTTGTGAAAGTAGGATCATTGAGTACCTGCTATATTTATTTCTAAGCAAAAAATAATAGCATTAAAAATAGAAAAAAACACCATTGCTTGCAGAGAAAACAAGATGCCTTTTTGCCTAGAAATAAAAAGATGCAGCATCGTTCTGTGATTAAAACTGTATACAATAATGCTGTAATGAGTTATTATAAATAACCTGTGATGATATTCAGATTCACTTTTTAAATTCAGACAATTAACCTGACTAGTCATTGTGTGCAAAAGGATTAAAGAAGCAATCAGCAAAATTGAAATAAAATGTTAAAAAAGGAAAATTATAGAACAAATTCATTTGTAATAACTGTCATCTAATTTCTACTAATTGTTATGAAATTCATTGCTTTTATTATTATGAATTTGAGAACTTTGAAGAAGAGATAAAGAAATAAATGACAAATTTAAAAAAGTAAAAAGTATTTTACAGATGCTCAAGTTATTCAAAATAATAGTTAGCTACCAAAGTTCTAAGAATATAAATTTTGCTTCTAAACCACAAAGTTAATGATAAGGCATTAGTTGCGATCATTTTGATAAGATACTCCTAGAAACTTTGGAGAAAATTTAGAAGAAAAAACGGCAATAACAACCAAATGATGAAATTACTTAAAACATCAACTACATGATATCATGCAATTGTTAATTAATAAGCATAAATATATGCATTTATTTGAAAAATAAAAATTTTTTTAAAAAAAATTTGCTTTAATTACATTCAATTCCACATTTTAATTCTGAACTTTAAGTATTTTACATTATGACAATCATTAGGAGCAAGCTTAATTCTAAATATTTTGGGCAAAGAAACATACATTTTAAAAATAAAAATTTATCATTAAGACATTACTAAAAGTCAAAAGAAACTTTTTTTTCTTCGTAATTTGCAAAACACATTACTTAAAAAATAGCACAAAGAAAATACTAAGATAAATATGAATCTTAATTATGAATGCAATAATAAAATTACTATTGCAAATGAGCTTTATATTTTCTTCTAATATAATAAAAGAATTACCTCTTATATAATAAGATTTAATTAAGATTATTTAAATATAAGAAAGATGAAATACGTTAAAATATTTTTTTTAATAATTTATATAATGCTACAATATATTATTGAACTCATTTCATTTTGAAATGAATTTAACTTGATGAAATTCTAAATAACTTACATGTTGATTTTCGATAAACTTAATTTTTTTTATGTCAAAATAAAAAATATTTAAAATGAAATGAAAATTATACAGTCTTAAGCTTAAAAAAAATATTTTTACCATAATTTAATATTGTAAAAAAGTCTTGAGCAGTCGACCCGTCAATTTCTGTTATGGACAGTGAACTGGGAGACTTTCTAAACCCTTGCATTCTATTAGAAATAGGTATACTTGCTGGAGTAATCAGCCATTCAGAAAGCAAAGAAGTAATTTTTGTCATATCACCTACAATAATATGCCACAAAACTAATAAGTAAGATTCAAATTTTAAAAACATTCAGCAATTGTCAAATTTACTACCGAATTCTGTTGTGCAGAAACTATAGATAACAAGTTCTATCCATAAATATGGGAAAAATTAAATATTATATTTTTACACATAGAAAAAACTTAATCTTGTATAAGCAACATCTTGCAAATGCATAAACTTCCTTAACAATGGATAAAACGTTTAACTTATATCATATCTCATGAATAAATTCTCATATGGACAAAATATAGAGCAAACTAAATTTTTCAGGAATAAGAATTTTTTTTTTTCATTTTGTTGCTTAGTAAATACGATATTCTAAAATAAAAAAATAGTGTCAACACACGATTATGTGCAGAATATGCAAGATGAGTACCAGATATTTTGTCTCTGATCTAAATGAAGATAAATAACATAATGGATAATCATTTCATCAATAATCATGAACTTGCAATAATATCTTGAAATCGCAAATACAGCAGGCTTAAGAAACAATGCTAAAAGAGTTTATCTTAATCCTGTCTAATTCACAAGAATTTGTAAGCCTGTATGAAAATGTGTTTGATTCTAAAAAGTCACATTGTATAAATACATATCAAGACATTTAAAAAAAAAATTTAAACAAAATATAGTTTTTGTAATTATTTATAAAACAGGAAAATAGTAAATCACTCATGAACACACATGAGCTGTAGTAACAAATATCAATAAGGAATTTAATGATTTTCTATAACCAAAGCAAAGTTTTTCCACTTTGTTGAATGGGTTGTTAGCCACACAGTTTTAGAGGTACAATTATTCTCCAGAAAATTTGCATATAGAGGAGGATCAATCTAACAATTACCTAATTGTACTTAAATTAGACCAATCTCAATTCTGTATATATTTATAAGATATATAAGTATTATAAGATATCTTTAATTATATATACACTTAATATATAGGTAGAGAAAGTTATCAGTAACATTGTTGACTTGTTGATAAAGATAACTATGCTAATTGCTAGCAGTCCTTTAAAGCTAACCATTATACTAGAGTTTTGGGGTAAATAATAATAATAAATATTTATTACTTATTAAACTTTAAATTTCTTTTTTAATAAATATTTAATGATTAAATTAATTTAATTAATACTTATTGCTAAATAAACTCACATATTCCTACAGTATTTAAAAAAATAAATACTAACCTTGTGTGAGTGGTGATTTTGCTGATACTACAACTTTAGATAAAAATGTTAAGAGTTTCCATTGATACTCAACAGGCCAATTTTCATTACATAAACACCTAAAACAAAAAGAAATATTAAAATTAAACATTAAGAATGCAAGTTTAGTTAAGTCATAATTTACTACTAAGTATTAGAAGTGTCATTCTCTATAAATATGCTATTTTCTGGTAGTGACAACAAGAAAAATAATTGCGTCAGAAATTTGTAATTTTTTGTAATAAGAAGGTACTAGACAAAAACTTAGCTTGATATTTTAAAAAATATTCAAATTATTATAAGTTTTAATTAAAGTGAGGATAACATGGTGTAGGAAAAATAATTTTTTTATAAACACATTTAAAATGATATATTTAATGAACATATTTCAGTGTTTGTCAGTCCTTAACTGTTTCAAAAAAGTAACAATATAAAAGCAAAAATATCTTTTTTAACCAGTCTTTAAAAACATTAGAATCAATCACTCATTAAAGTGCCATTTTCTCACAGTGTGAGAATGAGAAAATAACATTATTTGCTGTTAAAGTTTAAGCCCATGAATAAAATTAAAATACAATATATATTCTTAAACTATCCCATAAGGAGAAGTGATTCCTTTATTTAGTTTCTTTTTAAACTTCTCCCAGTTTACTGAAAATTGTTTTGCAGTTTTATCAGAACATGTTCTTAGAATACTTTTTCCAACCAAATTAATTATGCCATCCATCTGAAACATTCTGAATCGCTATGAGAGAAAGAATAATATGAATTATGAGTTTCAAACTTATTGCTATATAAAAAATTCCATTTAAAAACCAAAAAATTAACTTAATACACAGAAACAATACAAGTGTTAATTTTAAAAGATAAAAGTTGATCAAGAGAAATGACCTTTTTCTTCAGTGAGAAATGAAGTTTTTTATTTATTTTTTTGTATTCTAAAGTTAAGTTGTAAGAGTTGCGAGTAAAGAAATGAGATTTCACAAGTTAAAAAATATTATTTGAAACCAGGGTTGGAGTTTTTGCCGGCAAAAAGGGGTTTTTGCCAGGACAGTGGCAAATACCTGGTAAAAACCGGCAAAAACCAAATTATCTAAATTGCTGCTTAAATATTATTACAAAATACTTGAAACAAATTTAAATCAATCATAAGGAATAATAATTTTGATACATTACATAAAAAAATTATTTTTAACATATTAATAATTAATATAATGGTAATAATTTTTAAAAGATTGAAAGTTTGTGATCTCTTTTCATTTTAGAATCCTAAAATAAATGATTTTTTACAAATAAATAAATATTATTATGTGTATAATATTATTATTTATTATAAAAATTTATTATTTGTACAATAATTAACTACACATATTGATAGATATTTTATGGTTTAAATTATAGTTATATTAATTTAAAATAAGTTCATTTCACTGGAAAAAAAAAAGAATAATCACAAATTTTCCAATCAATAATGTTTTAAACTACTAAAATGATATATTATTACATTATCATTTAATTATGGAATAATAATTTTGTTAATTTTTTTGTAATTATTTATATTTATAGTATATATATTTCAATTTTAGGAATAATTTTGTATCAAAAATGTGTTTTTGTCCTCTCATCTTGGAAAATATAGGTTTTTGCCAATTTGCTTGGCAAAAACCTGTTTTTGCCAGGACGGTTTTTACCGGTATTTACCATGGTTTTTTCCACCTGCGGCAAAATCTTGCCAACCCTGTTTGAAACTTATGAGGTAATGTAATAAAGGCATCCTCAAACTACTGAACAGTGAAACCTCTCGGGTGTAACTCTCTGTTCCACAGTAAAATAGTCGTTAATATAGGTTGGTCGTTCTTAGGTATTATCTCCATTGACATAAATGTTATCGAAGGTACATGAGTTTTCGCAAACGATTTTAATTTTAGTCAGTAACCTTTTCTTGGGGTGGAAATGCTACTTGTGCTGGTGTCATGAATAAAATTTGGCATCAATAAAAATAATCCATATTTATATAATTATGTGTAAAAACAAATTTATCAATTATGAATGATAGAACTATTTTAAATAAATAAACAAATATATTTTTTGCTTAAGTTTGTATTTACTTTTACATCATAAAAATTAGTCAGCTTTAAAAGATGAGAAGAGTTTTGTTTGCTTGAGATGATTAGTTTTTTCTAAAATAACTTTTGTTTACTAATTTAACTTTCACCTCTAAAAATAGATAGCACTGTCTTTAGTGCACTCTGACTGCAACATGAGGTTATAGATCTTTTTCAGATATCCTCAAAAAGAGCTCTTTAAATAAGAGCCTCACACAAATATTTTGAATACATTTTAATCTACATATTTGTTTTGTTAATATTTTTCATTTTGATTTTTCTTTGTGTTTCCTTATTTGACCTTTCCTGCATTTGGTGCTTAGATTTGCATGGTTGCTGAGGTTTGACGGTCTCTTCCAAAGGTTTTCTTCAACACAAAGTCTATGGAGAAAATTATGTGCCTTCCAAAAGTGGTCGTAAATAGGTCGCTACATAGAGGTAATTTTTTCTGAAGGTTTCACTGTAATTTATTCCTTTTTCTACAGAAAATAAAACTAAAATAGTCTTCATTTACATCATTTCAGCCTATTTTCAGAGAATTACTCAGAAAGAAGGATGAGAAACAACTAAAAACTTTTTTTTTTCTTACCATGCCAACTTTCGAATGACTGACTTAGTTCCAAAATCATCAATGTTCTGAAGAAAAAAAAAAGGAATAAAGAACTATAAAAAATGCAATACAAATTATATTAAAAAATAGACTATTTTAATATAATTATTATATTAAATGTCCATACAAAATAAATAAAAAATTTCATACACAAATATTTCACTAAAATAATGTGTAAAATTATGCTATAGCTAATTAACTAATTGCTTTATACTGTATACTGTTATACTGTATACAAGGAAAAAAATAACACAATATAAATATCAAAATAAATTATAACAAGACGTTTATAACCTCTAATAAGAGCAGATAAAAGCAAAATGCAAAATATTTATAATATTTAAAATAATGCACTTAAATTAAAAACTCAGTTTCTTTTTCTTTCAATGTTTGAAAAAAACATGGAAATAAATTAGTATGAAACAATACAACGAAAATCACAAACAAAATTAAATGTTTAAATGCCAATTTTCTGAAAGACATAATGAAGGTTTCATAATAGAAAAGGGAATGATAAAAAGAGTTAAGAAAGAAGGTAGTATTTATTCAAGGAGGTAAAAGTCATTTTATTATCACCATTTATGTATTCTAGTTACAATTTTTTAAATGAATCATATAAAAGCAGTTATAATACTTGTCTTCAGACTTTTTTTTCTTTTTAATATATCTCTGGTGTAAGCAAATACAATGAACTTATACAATGAGTTTATGAACTTTGAATTACATTATATTGCAAAATGCATATTTAAAATAAAATATATTTTCAGGTACATTTATTTCATAAATACTTCAGTGTGATATTGTTTAATGTTTGGATTTTTGTACGGCTAATTTTTAACTAATGCACATTTTTGTTAGTTTAAATTTTTTTAATTCTAACTTTTTTTTAATTCAAATTAAAAATAGTCAACTGTATTAATAACATTTTGTACTAGTTTTTAAAACAAAAAAGATATTCTTACTTTTACAGAATTAAGAAGTAAATTAAGATCAGATTGTAATACACGACATATGAAGTGTGTAATGAATTTTCTAAGCAGAAATAAAAAAGAGTTTTGTTAAATTTGATTATTGTTTAGATATTTTTGCAAAAGAGAATATCTAAAAACATTTTTTTAACACAAACAAGTTAAATAGATATAACAAATTAAAACTAAAAGAAAAAAATTATATTTATTTTATTTTTTGATCACAATGAGAGTAAAAAATGAAGTGAACCTAAACACTGTATACAAATTGAACAGGACTTCCAAAACAAAAACAAAGCTAGAATAAGTGCAGAATCGATTTTATTGAAGTAAAAAAAAGCAACATTAGAATAATAAAAAACCCATTCAAAAATCAAATAAATAACATTTTTGAACTGAAAATATGATAAAGCAAATAAATCAAAATCAGAAAATAAATAAATGAAATCAAAGTACACAATAAATATATATTTTTTTTTTAAATTATAAACAAGTAAAATTAATATCAGAAGTACTATAGCAAATAATTATGATGCTGAAATTAAGATGAACAGGCAAATAAATTATTTGAAAAGTTTTACAGATTAAAAAAAATTTTTTTTTTAATTTATTCAACACATACTTGAGCTAGTAAAACAGGAAGAGCATATACCAAGGAGTAACCAACATCTAGATTGATAATTTCTGAAATATCAGTTATGGGTGGCAATCTTTGCAATATCACAGTGGCTAAATGACGCCTAGAAATAGAAGCTTCAAAATCAATGACTAACAGCAGAAGTGAACTCACAATGGCATCAATGTCTGTAGTCCTAAAATTAGAAGAAATCAGTAATTATTTTAAAAAATAATAATAATTTGTAATCAACATTTCAAAATATAAAGCTTTTTAAATAAAAGGGGAAAATATAAAATATATTTTAACAAAATATTATAATCTTAGAGACAGTGATCAGATTTAGAGATATTCTGGTTAGAATATCCCTGTATATATAAGCTTTAAAATTTTTATTAAAAAAAAAAAGAATTATACATGTAAATTCTATTATAACTTGAAGCATGGTTGGATATATGGCATGACAAACATTAAAAACTGGTTTTAACTGACAAAAATTTAAGATGTTAGTCACAATGACATAACATTGATTTACGGCACAATAATTAAAATAATATAGCTTCCAACAGTTCTTTTATTACCATACAGTGGTTTCTTCAAATGCTTTAATGTAATAAACAGTTGTTTCTTTTTCAAGAAATTTTCTTTTCAACAATAAATTAATAAAAAATATGCAGTGATTTAATATTTAAATATTATGTGCACTGTACTTTTTAGATTTGAATAATAATATTTATACCAATGCAAATTTTTTTCGGTTTGTGACACAGGGCTTTTCATATGACAGTACCATCCATGGTTAAAACTGCCAAAAACTCGCCAATCCTGTTTATAACATTATTAATTATTTCATTAATCATGTCTTTGTAATTTCTTAATAATGAAAGATTTCTTTAAATATTCAAGTGCAATTTCTTTATTCTAAAAATATTTATTCTTTTCTTCACAGACAGTATATAGCGGGGAGATTTCCGTATCGTGATCTGTGGCAAAATTATCGCCAAGTCTTGGAAGCTTCCGGGCAGTGGCCCGCGAGAAACTAAAAAAAACATCATAGAAAGGGACCAATTATAAAAAAATTTGCAAGTTTAATATCTATTTGGCACCTTGGCGATAGTAGCTGGTGCGACAGATCACGATACGGAAATATCCTATGGTAAAACAAGTATTTATAACCTAAATCACTATAATATTTTAAATTTTCTTAAAACAGTTTTCATTTCAAGAAACATTAATTGCAAGTAAGATTCTGTGTATTTAAGATGAAATAACTAAATAATGTAGATCTTACGAATCTAAATTTTTATTAATCAATGCTGCATATAAAGTCTGTAAATATTCTTTGTGTAGAGTTTTCGGTGCATCTTCAATAATGTCACGAATAGATTTTACAACTTTTTCGTCATAAAACATTGCTTATTTTCGTCGTTATCACTACACATCTAATAAGTAAACAAAAATAGTATTTTTATTTAAAACAATTATTTATTTGGAATCCCATTTAAATTATGTATATCAATAGGAAATTGTAAACAGTTAATGAGAAACATCAATCTCACAACTAGAGAATCAAGATCAAAACAAAAGCAAAACGTAAATAAAACGTGATGCCATGGACTAGCTTTAATCACTAATGCTCTGCAAAAATAATTTTTCAGCATGTAGTTTTCTTTTTCAGTTTCAAACTGAAAAATTACTTTAATCTTATAAACGAAGGACTTTTTTCCGAAAATAGATCATTATCTGATTAATTAAAAATTTTCTAGTTCATTTGATCGCGTTGCCATTCTTTCATAAAAATTCTACTTTAACTTTCCTTTAAACATGTAGACCGGCTGTTGTTTTGCTTATTCCAGAACTGTTAATGTTTCTACAGGCGTTTGCGTTAAAATTGTTTGAAAGAAAAGATATTAAAGTTATAAAAAATATATTTTTAAGAATTTTCTGTGTAATTAATGTAAATTTTTTTCTGTCGGTGGGTTAGCTTTGCAAAATTTATTATATGAATTCTGTTTGTATTCTAAGCCTAACATACCATTATTTCAGCGTGCCAACGTGGTGTGACACTTGGAAGCACACAGCAGTTGGTGAACTTAAATGAAGGAATTTTCTACTTTACTTAAATTGGACTGAAGATTTTGAAAGTTGCTTTCTAAAGTTTTGAGAAGGACAATCAGATCCATTATTTTTAAATTTTTTATAATTATTAGGTATTTTATAAATTTTTGCGTCATAACTTCTCATTATGTCATCGACTGGATATACCGTAGAAGAATCTAGTGCTGATAGGAATGTTGAAATATGGAAAATTAAGAAACTAATTAAAAGTTTAGAAGCAGCCAGAGGGTAAATATATCACAAAATTTTAATTGTATTAGTATTTTGTTAAGTGCCATATTGCTGAATCTTTCATGTAGGTAATATCTACTTAGTTACCAGTTTCTTCTACTAAAATTAAAAATTTCTCGAGTTTTTTTACTAAATCAAGACAGATTTTTTAAGTAGTTTGATGTAGTTTTGATATTACTGTTAAATTATGAAGTGTCTAAAGTTTATAAAAAGGTCAAATATTAAAATACTTTTTTTAACAGTATAATCAGTAATAGTTTAGAGATCTTGTTTAAATAATAGTATTAATTACTGAGCTATTTAGTATATCATTTTTGTGGAAGCTTAACATTAAGAAAATTAAGTTGTTTTTTTTTTAATTTTTTATGTAAATGAGTTGTGAAACTTATTTTCATTATTTTATAAAGAACTTAAAATATTAAATTTTAAACCACTTATTAAACATCTACTATTCACTTAATTAAATGCTTTTCTGGCTCTGAAATGATTTGATATAATGATTCTACAATGCAGAGTGATATTTCCGTATCTTAATCTGGCACACTAACTACAAATGCCATGGAGCCGAATCAATTTTAAACTTGCAAATTTATTTTAAGTAGAAAAAAAAAGTTATTCCAAGGGTTGACTACAAGTTAAATCCTTCGAGTTTGTCCCTTTCTGTGATGTTAAGTTTCTTGCTGCCCACTACATGAAAGTTGCCAGGAGTTAGTGATTATTATACCACAAATCACTATAGAGAAATCTTTCCCTGGTATTAGATTCATGTTAATTTGTTAAAATTCAAGCTATTCTATGTACTTCTTGCTAAACAATCATATCGGTCATTTTTAATTGAAACGATTATATTTAATACTTGCAAGTGTTTTGTTCAGTCACTCGGGTATTTTGCTGTTTCTTCGAGACAATGCCAACTTGACTGGAAATGATTCCAATTTGTATATCGCTATTCAAAATATAAATGTCAATCATCAATTTAAATTATTGTAATCAATTTTATTTTGATGGTGTATTAGTTTAATTTTATGTCATTCTCAGTAGAAATCTTGTAGATTTCATTTATATGATTTTTAAATTGGATAGGATGGACTATTTATTGATTTCTATTACACTATAGATAATGATTTTTATATCTGAAAATCTACTAAAAGGAAGACTTTGTATATGAACTGGGCAGTTTCAGTTAGCATAGTAACAGGTGCTTCAGAAGAGTGACCTTTAATTGAACTTTTGGCATATTATATTGGTAGTTATTTGTAAATTAAATAGGCGTATTGTAATGTTTGATTTCTAATGTAATGTATGCAATCTTTTGTAGGAATGGAACAAGTATGATATCCCTTATAATTCCACCTAAAGATCAAATTTCTAGAGTGTCAAAAATGTTAGCTGATGAATTTGGTACAGCTTCTAATATAAAAAGTAGAGTAAATAGGTTATCTGTGTTGGGAGCTATCACATCTGTACAACATAGATTAAAATTGTATACAAAAGGTAAAAAGCTCTTTTAATAATTTTACAAATTGTCAACCTTATATCTGAATGTCAGTAATGTTTCATATGTAATATTCTACTTATTATTGAGTGCTTGTGATGTCTAATGCCACTTGTCAATGCTGACAAGCCTATTTTAAGGCAGAGAGGTGTGCTTATGGTGCAGTTTAAGAATAAAATGATCTTGATTCATTATTAAGTTTATTAATTATTTCACCCTATTTTGCATTATGTTTGACAAAATTTCTGTCATACTGATTTTTTTTTATTTGAGCGTGCTATGAACACATATTTGTTGCGCTTATAATAAATTGCAACAAACAGCCACAGGAAATAGTTAACATTCTGCTAATTTTATCCCGAAAATTTGGTAAATTTTATTCTGGAAATTTTAGGAAATTCAGTTTTTAAAGTGTGGGCAAACTATTTTAGTAAGATTTTTATTTTTACTATAACAGGCTTATGAATTATATTGTACAATTAAAAGAAATTTTAAACTATCAAATTAATATTTTTAAGAAATAACATTGATGGTTATAGCACAAATGTTTCTCTTAAGCTATTAAATTTCTTCATAAGTTATGTTAAATTTTTAACTGTTTCAACTATAATTTTTTTTATCTATTTTCAGTACCTCCTAATGGGCTTGTTATTTATTGTGGAACAATTGTCACAGAAGAAGGAAAAGAAAAGAAAGTTAATATAGATTTTGAACCATTTAAACCAATTAATACTTCTCTGTACCTATGTGACAACAAATTCCACACTGAGGTAATATTTTCTAAGTTAATATCTTTAGTACTTCATAATAATCCTATTTTTCAAAAAAAAAAAATATATATATATATATATTATTTTTTGGTTTTTTATTTTGCTAATAAACATTTATAATTGTTATAATGTGTTCGAACCTTCTGTGATTTTTAAATTATTTTTTTTATATTTACACAAGTTTTTTAAGCTTCAGTGTTAACCCATTTTAAAGTATAGTCAACTTCATATTTTACACTATAAATTGACATGTTAATTTTGTATTTCAGGCCTTGTCTGCATTGTTGGCTGATGATAATAAATTTGGGTTTATTGTCATGGACGGCAATGGAGCATTATTTGGCACCTTGCAAGGTAATACAAGAGAAGTACTCCACAAATTTACTGTAGACTTGCCAAAAAAGCACGGTAAGAGGAATATTATTATTTATAGACCAATAACTTTATTTGTATTTAATTAGGGGCATAACAAAGAGTGATTTGGCCGAATATTTGGCCAAATCACTATTTAAAATTAAGCATTTTTTTTTTTTTTAAATTTTAAAAAAAATTTATTAATAAATTTTTTATATATAGAAATAAGTTTAGTCATTATTGAAAAATAATCAAAACCTTGCTGTATTATTAGAATGGGATCAGAGGTGATTGTTTTCGGGAAAAACTCCGGATTTTTTTTCCTAACTGTGATCCAGAAATTCAAGGTCCAGAAGTTTCAAGAAATTATCGATCGCATTTATGTATAAAAATTCTTGTATATTTTATTTAATAACATTAGAACTAGAATTTATACTTGGCATCTCTTTTATTAGTAAATTTTTTTTTCTGGTAGAGTAATAAATGTGATTAGAGGTAAAAGTAAAAAATCCACAAAACATTAAAAGTTAGGTCTGTCAGAAGCTCTTTTTTTAAAAAAAAACGAAAAAAGCAGCTTTATCTTAAACGCCTTTAAAAAATCAAAAATTATATGCCAAAGCAAGACAGAAAAGGAAGAAAAAAAATCTTGATTTTAAAAAAAAAAAAAAATTCAGCTCTATGCATGTAAGTTTTGGGAAAAAGAGGGGCTAGATAAAAACCAAAACAGAAATCTTTCTTTAAACGAAAGATTTAACTCAAAAAATCTTAACTTTTCCACATGATCGTATTTTTAGAAAAAATTAACCATTAAAAAATAAAATCTATTAGAAGTGTACCTATATCATTTTTCACTTAAGTGAAAACAGAAAAACTCAATTCTCAATTTTTACCACATTAAGTATTGAAAAAGGAATGAAATAGACAGCCCTAAATGTTATTAAAAAGAAAAAAAGATCAGCATTATAAAATTCAGTTTAAAGTTATGTAGTTTCAATTCTTCAAATTTCGCTTTTCCATGTGTCATTTCAGAACATAAATTAACCATTTTTAGAACTTGACAAATATGTTTAAAAACTATCTTTAATAATGTATGGTAAAAAGTATGATTTTAGATTATTCTTTATTAGATTATGTAAAATTTCCTCCAAAAAACTTTGTGGAAAAATAATTTTCCAAATCCAAATATTTGACAAAAGAACTGAATAATGACTAAATATTCATTACATCCCTATTCTTGATTTCTACCCCTGCTTATTTTATATTTATGTATTTCAGGTCGTGGTGGTCAATCTGCATTACGTTTTGCTCGTCTTAGAATGGAAAAAAGACATAATTATGTTAGAAAGGTCGCTGAAGTAGCCACACAACTTTTCATTACAAATGATAAACCTAATATTGCAGGATTAATTTTAGCTGGTTCTGCAGATTTCAAAACTGAACTTAGTCAATCTGATATGTTTGATCCTGTAAGTGAATTCTTATCTTGCATTTCTTAAGATTTAACTTTTATTTGTAGCATTATTACTTATTTCTCCATGTTACATTCATGTTTAAAATAATGAATTTCAATGTATTAAGATCTCAATCTCATGTGTTCTGAAAGGGAAATCTTGGTGTAAGAGAGGGTGCTTCTGTTCGAACCAGTAAATTTTCCGTTTGGACCAATTCTGAGCAAGACGTGTGATTGGGGAGAGAAGATAAGCGGAATGAAGGTTGAAAGGAATGAAAAATAGTGGAATTAAGAAATTTTCCCAAAAATTTGGGATATTAGTGCATTTTGAAATTTCTTTAAACAGTATACACGTTGACGATTTTATGATGCAAGACAATGACAATTGGCAAGACATTGACAATTTTATGATCTCTCGCTTTAATGAAAAAACTATGAAGAATAGGGTGACCCGGGGTAATTCACGATCACTCTGTTTCTGGGGTAAATAATGATCACCTAAAGTTTATTTAAATAAAAAAAAAATATTTTTAATTTGAGACATGGACAAGAATGCTGGTACACTTTACTAAAGTATAACTACATTTACTTAATAAAAGTTTTTTGTTTATTTTAACAAAATAAGTATCTTTTAAACTGCTTTCTGTATTTTCCATTTCAAAGATGAATTTCAAAATGTGCACATTTCTGCGAAGATCCAACTCCTTCTCTTAATAATAAATATTTTTACTTACTTTCTTTTTCTTTGATATGAAAATAGTGTAAGCTTTTGTTTAATTGTTTCACATCTACTGTAAACATTATAATTGATTATGGGAAACTATATCAAATATTGCCCCCTGCAGATGGGATAATTCCTGATCATTGTCATTTCTTTTTATAAATTGTATTAAAAATAGCTAATGAATAGCTAATTGTCTGTTCTTAAATAACAGTTCATATTTATTAAGTGGAGCAACTATAAAATATATTTTAACTCTAATCACAAAATTTGTTTTTAATTGAATACAAGACAAATGTGTTCCGATTTGCACCATTTCTGGTTTGTCTTACCTTGCTACTATCTTAATTTTATGAGTAAACATTGTTAGAATAATTTTTAAGTTTATAAATTAGCAAAATTAGTGAAATTCTTTTAATGATTGAAAATGAAAATTTCAGTGTCAGAGCTGCTGGCATACCTTATTTAACCTTACACTCACTGAATGAAGTTACAAAATCCAGCAAAAGTAACCTATGTGGGAACTCTTTCTTATATTCCAGCAGAGCATGAGAATGAGTTATCTGCTTGCCTAAAATGTATGGCACGATGCAAAGATTTTTGGAAAATTTAAAGCGTTAATCTTTATTCTTGTTTTTTAAATAAATCGTTTTATTAGCTTCTTAAACATATATTTTTGGATTATTTGTTTGATCTTGATGTCTTATTTGCTAATTACCATTGTATAATTATTTTTATGCAGCACCTTTACTATAAAACCTGGTGATCAGTAATTACCCCAGAAGTGATCAGGAATTACCCCAGAAACGAACAAGACATGGGGTAATTCCTGATCACTAAAAATTTAAAATCTTTTAAATTCTAATTAGATTCTCAAACAAAAGAAGGTAGCATAGGACTCATCTCATATAGTCTCAAACTTCCAGTAAATATTAAAATTCTATCTTGAATAGTTTTGTCACAAAATAGATGTTTGCATTTTTTGATCAGGAATTACCCCAGATCACCCTATTCCTTAAAAATATGTTAAACTAAGTTTTGCCCTTATTTATATTATAGTAATTTCCAGCTGGATATGAAACAATCTATCTGTATTAATAAGGTGAACGATCATAATGTGCAGAGTATCTGGTGATTTCATTTTTCCAAGAGCTTCGCGTGAGAATTTTTCAGTCAGCCTGAACTTAATCAAAGTAAATTTTTACAGAAAATATTCTAAAATAGATGATTAGTATCAATTTGCTCAGAACTACGAATGTGCAACAAGATTCAATTTAAAACTTGATGATAATTAAATGTCTGTGCTCTAGGGATTCGGAAAAAACATGTTCTGATCACATGATCAGCATGTTGTGTTTCGCTTTCATCCCTCTTTCTTATTCTCAAGACTAGGTAGGCAAAGCATTTTAATTGAGACTTGGGGAGTCTTACTCTTCTTATTGATGAAGTCTCACAATGTTTCATGATCAAAACACAATGCTTATTTTCCATTCCTATCCTTATAATTTGCAGTTTCGACATTCCCATTACGTTATGATATTGATGCTTCTAAAGTTGTACGTGAGAGTTTGAGTTAACACATTTTACTTTAGAAAGTTTTTATGTTTGCTTGCATATGTTTTACTTTCATGTTGATTCTATTATGAAACTTATGTATTTGGTACAGTTTTCTGATGATTATTGAAGTTTATTGTAATTTACTTTTCTTTTAGCGATTGCAAGTTAAAGTATTAAAATTGGTTGATGTTTCCTATGGAGGAGAAAATGGTTTCAATCAAGCTATAGAATTATCTGCTGAAGTCCTTTCTAACGTTAAATTCATTCAAGAAAAAAAGCTTATTGGTAAAAATATTTTGTCCCTATGAATTTATTAACTTTTAATAGTTTCAACATACTAAACGGAAAAAAAAATTTTATTACTTTAATATTAGAATGTAAAAACAAAATTAACTTTGTTATATGTTGTGAGTCTGTATGTACATACACTGAAATGGATTCAATTGGAAGGAATCTAGTACTCTCATGTGCAACTTTGCTGAATTTTGTAAGAAATTCACAATTTCAAGCTTCATTTTACACCCTCTTAAATTGAACCAAAAAATCTCAAATTTTAGCTGATCATGAAGACTAACTAAACATTGCCAAGTGTTTTTTCCAATAGCAAAAGAAAATTTTATTTCTCTTGTTAATTTCATTGCTGGTTAAGCATCATTGTCTTCATTACTTACAAGCTGATAACATTCTGGTGCTGTTCTATTTGTTAATCTATACCATAATCCTTTAACTTAAGGATCATTCACTAATTACATGTTTGAGATTTTTAATTGTAGGATTTAACCTTTTTACTTTACTTTATAATTTTTTAACTTATTACTTTTACTATTTTATTATTACTTTTTAAACTTAAAATGCTCTAATGTTAATTTCTGGAAGAACTCAATAATATTTGGAGGCAAGATTTTTAAAAAAGGGTATGAAATGAGAGGCTTTTCAATATTTTAACATTAAGTAAATGCTGAAAAATCTTAGGAGGTTATTCAAATTTATCATTCCTTAAAAAGTTTAATTCATCTCTTAATTAATAATCTTAGTTTTGTTTAATATTATGAATGTTACTACCATATAATAATTACTGCTCATAATTTCAAAATTATTGAAAAAAAATTTCTTGTTTATTGAAAAAATACTGAATTAATATTGAACATAATCACTAATTTACAATTGTAATGTGAATTTATTAGGTTTTCAAGGTTTACTTGATTGTTTGCAGATCTTTATAAATACAGTATGATTAATAAAGTTAATCTTTATATTTTTGAATATACTTTAATAATAACTTTTTGAAATTATAGTTTTGCTAATTATAATTTTGAATTGCATTTTTTTACTTAATTACGTGAAGCAGGGTGCGTAGCGTTTGTAAAAAGTACTTAAAAGTGCTTTATTAGGGATTTCGTTTTTAAAAGCTTTTAAAGGTGCTTTTTTTCAGCTGGCGTTTCTAAAAAGTGATTTTTTTCCGAAATTTTTTTTCTCTCCCTTCAGTGATATCTGGCGGATCCCATGCATTTCACGAAAAATGGGGAGTTTGCTACATAATCATTCATGCGGACTTCACGTCGTACCCCCGTTATGACTTGTGCATGCGCGCGCACTTTAAACCGAAACCCGAGTGCTCCAATTCGGATAGAGAATATCAGANTTAGTGATAATAGTGCTTGAAAAGTTTTTAAAAAGTGCTTATTTTTGATTCAAAGATTTGGCTACGCACCCTGTGAAGTAATTATTAGTTTCAAAAAATAGAATGAGAACCTCAATATGAAATATTTTGAAAATTGTGCATAAATTGTTATTATGGTGACTAATATAATTTTATTATGATAATGTAAATTCTTAGGAAAATGTTTAGCAATTTTTTGATGAAAAAACTTTCAACAATAAGACAAAATATTTTATTAGCCCACATATCCAAACTAACTTTTTAACTCTTTTTATAATTTACTAAAAAATTAGTAATAATTAATTCTCTTTGGTGAAAAGCTTTTAACAAGTTTTTATTGTAGCAAGAAATTAATTGGAAATTTTATAAACAAAATTAGGTGAAGTTGCAATGCTCTTTGAGCACAAATGAGTAACTTTAAATATGATCTACATCGAATTAAAAACAAATTTCTGTTAGTGTAGCGAAATATTTTAGAACCTTTTGAATACTTTATAATTTTAATGTAACACTAGATAACTATGCAACGCATTTTACATTGGCGGAATACCAAATACTGAATAATGTGGTCTAGCTTAGAGCCACGTATCCAGTGACTGTATTTTTTTCTTTCTTTGAGTATTAATATTTATTAGTATAAGACAAGAATTCCAAACTTTTAAAACTATGTATAAAATATACTTAATTGTTCTTACTTTAAAATATAACCAAGGATAAGATATTTAAAATAGATAGTTGGCAAGAAGCAAATGTTTAATAAAATTTACATAAATACTACACATTTGATTCCAGTTCAATCAGGAGGGTTGGTGAGCTAGGAAAGCCTGGGGTAGAGTTTCTGTGGTATTTGCAATAATAATATACTTGTGGATTTAGTATGTTTTTTTTTTTTGTTTGTTTTTTTACCTTTCATTGATATATTATTTTAAGTTTAATATCAATGTCAAATATTCACATATGTTTCTCTTTCTAATATAGGAAGATATTTTGATGAAATTTCACAAGATACTGGAAAGTATTGTTTTGGTGTTGATGATACTTTGAAAGCTCTAGAGATGGGTTCAGTTGAAATTTTAATTGCGTGGGAAAACTTAGATATTGTACGCTATGTACTCAAAAATCATGCAACTGATGGTAAGCTTTGTTTCCTATGATATAACTTGTGTGCTGAAAATCTGGATAAAATATTTATTTGAAAACTAATCTGTATGTTTCTTAAAACTAATTTGCATGAGTTTTTGTAAGCGGTGGAATCCCTATTATCCGACAAAGTGTATAAACATTAAGTGAAATTTATAGAAATGAGTAATACTATCAAAGTTTAATTGAAAATTAATCTTGTTCTACTTTTCTAACATGAATGAAGTTCTAATTATGTTAGGGAAATATCATTGATAAGAGAAAGTCAGGCCTTAAGGGATTTTTTTCTCCAGGAAAGTATTTCTCTAATTCAAAAAGGTTTATTTAGTTGCAAATTAATATTATGTTTCTTCTACAGTTAGTAAATTACTGGTTTTTCAAAATTAAGGAATATATTTAGAATTTATCACAAATTAAGTATTGATCATACTTAAAAACAGAAGTCAAAAAACTGTCAAGCTCCTCTCTGGAATGTTACAAGCGTTATGTGTGAAACATTGTATTCAGTCTTTGAAGAATTTTGCCTTAAGAGTATTGTGAAATGGTCTTAAGGAGAAAAATTCTAGCACCTACTTTTAATCTGAAACTTACCCATCAGAACACCATTTGACTGCAAAAAAAGCTTAGCAATATTTCAAGCTTGTTGAACTTTGTTGAGCACTGAAGTAAGCTAAATGACATGCTATGCTCATTCAAGATTAATTTTCGAATGTTATAAACTACAAAATTATTTGGAACTACAGTAAATATTATAGCTTTTCTAATAAAATTTTTAAAAATGCTAGTATTGGTAAACATGTAGCAAAAGGTCTATCTGCAACTAATTTTATGCAATTTTAAGGTGGCAGCTGTAGTTTAGTTAGTCAAATCCTGAATTTTGAGTGAACGCTATTTATTTATCTGGAACTATTCTTTTAAGTAGAACAACGAAAATATTTGAAATTTTTGTAACTAATAATGTGGGCCAATGTTTATATTTCTGTATTTATAAAGAAAACTGTTTCTTTAATTTGCATTTATTATTGTATGTATTTCTCAATATTATATTATTTATGTGACTTCCTTCATTCCCTGCTCCCTTCTTGACAAACATGGAAATGTCCAATTCAAATAGTTTAGTTAAGATAAAAGTTATTCTTAATTTATTTTTTTTCCTTCATATTTCTGAAACTTATATAAATTTCAACAGTATCAAACTTGTTTTCTTAGTAGTTAAATGCATAATAAAAATTAATAATTTCAATAAACTAGTTCAAATTGAGTCATTAGAACGGTTAAAAAATAGTATTTCAGTCTTTGGGTCAGTTAGTTAGGTCAATATTTATTTATTTTTTGTATGGCTGATAAAAATATAAGTTAATCTTTTTTTTTTTTGTGACCCTTATAGAAGAGAAAGTACTTCATCTTACTCCAGAACAAGAAAAGGACAAAACTCATTTCACAGACAGAGATGTAAGTATATTTACAATTCTCTGAAATATTTCCAATAGCTGAAAAATATGTGTATATATATATATATATATACATACACACAGTGTTAATGCCAAGCCTAAAAATGCACCATTTTAATCAATTCGTCCAATAATATGCTTTTAAGCTATTCTTCCATCAATTGTTATCTGTAGTAGATGTAGTATTAGATCTGTAGTAGATCCCCTATATAGTTACATCTTCTACAATGACATGGCTGATAAATTGGCCAATCAGGGATCTGTTAAACCACTAGAAAATAGTGGCCTTTTTACCTCTAGTGAAATATTCTCGAAAGTTAGAGCCGATAAAAACAGCACCTGGAGGATTCCTCCTGCTCATGACTATTATCAACCAAAAGCATTCTGGGACTGCCCTAGAACTAAAGGGTGATAAAGAAAAAATTACGAAACACCATTACCAGATAATCAGTAGACATATTCATACACTTTTATGTGTGCAGAGGCAGAGTTTCCTGTGTGCACCAAGTGTAATTCACAACAATCTACTCCAGACAATTTGCTCTCCTGATTAGAACTGGACAAGAGTGATCTCTTTGAAAATTCTGAACTTGATCAAGTTGAATAAGAAACTACTTGTTAACCTTGTGCTTCTCTATAAATACATAGTACAGTAGGGAACCGATTATCCGGAACGATCGGGACCATCGCTATTCCGGATAACTGATTTTTCCGGTTTTTTGAATCGCTACAAAAAGCCGTTTTTTTTTCATTGTCAAACTCAACTAAAAAAAAAAATATATATTTGGAAATAATCTTAAAAAGAAGAAAAAACGAAGTAATACACTAATGATTATTTCCAAAATGATAGTAAGGTAAACATCTTTCCAAAAAGAAAGAAAAATCCTAAAATCATATGAGGAAAAAAAAATTTATTTTTTTTAAATGGCTGGAAAATTTATCGTATTTCGTTCCGGTTTTCTGATTTCCGGATAACGGGTTCTGTACTGTATCATAGATAGATAATATAGGCTCATGCCGTGCGTGTATACATTGGTGGTGATTCTCCAGTTTTGCAGATACTTTATTAATATTTATTGTAATATAAAGAAATGTATCCGCATGCTCAAAAAAAACAGTTTGCAATGCAGGGGGAAAAAGAGAATATGAAGCAGATGACATAATCATGATTTATGCAAGGTAGATGAAAGTTAGTGTTTAGTTGTATGCATGCTTTCCCAAAGAAAAAGATATAACTGCCACTCAGCCCACAGATTTGCAAAAGTAACTTCGTTTGGTGCGAAATTATTAATAGAACTTAATATGATGATTACTTGATATGAATGTAGTTCTATGTAAAACTATTAATATTAATCTTCCTCTAATGTTTTTAATGTTGAAGTACATGTGTATACATATATATATATAATATGTCAAGAATATATTAAAATGTTAGCTGTTTTGGTATATTTAATAAAATTATTCTATTTAAAAAAATATGAGCTTGCAGATACTTTTGAATTGTGTTCAGATACTTTGTTTTTATCTTACTATGAATAGTATAAAGTAAATGTTGATAAAAGAAAAAAATTAAATGTAATTTTGTCTAAACTACCGGGGTATCAGCATGCTCTGCACTGCATATAAAGTCTTTTCAAAAATTCTATTTAACAGACTTAGCCCCTGTGTAGAAAACATCATTGGTGAATACCAGTGCGGTTTTAGGAAGGGCATGTCTACAACTGACCAAATATTTTGCATAAGACAGATTCTGGAAAAGACCAGGGAATTTGGAATTGGTACCCACCACCTATTTGTGGATTACAAAACTGCTTATGACAGTGTAAACCGGAAGCGACTCATTGAAGCTATGCGAGAATTCAATATCCCGCACAAGCTTGTACGACTCACCACTCTTACACTGTGTAAGACCATGCAGAAAGTAAAAATCCAAAATGACTTCTCGGAACCAATGGAGGTAAAAAATGGTGTGAGGCAAGGCGATGCTTTGGCATGCCTACTCTTCAATTTGGCATTAGAAAAAATTATCCGAGATTCAGGAATCAATACCAGAGGACATATCTTTCATAAGTCTATCCAAATTTTCGCTTTTTCCGATGACATTGACATCATAGCGCGAACACAATCTGACTTAAAGCAAGCTTTTCTAGAAAAAGAGGCAGAAAAAATGCATCTCACTATTAACCAGGAGAAAACCAAGTATATACAATGCACCAAAATAACTGATTCTACAAATTGCAAATTGGTGAATACAAGTTTGAAAAAGTAAACAGTTTTGTTTATCTTGGTTCTGAAGTCAACGTTAATGGCAATATCGCACCCGAAATACAAAGAAGAATCAATAGTGCAAGTAAATGTTTTTATGGATTAAAAAAATATTTAAAATCAAACCTACTAAAAAGAGATACTAAACTGTTAATTTATAAATGCTTAATCAGACCTATCCTAACATATGCCTCAGAAACTTGGACAACAACACAGAAAGATGAGAATTCCTTGGGAATCTTCGAACGTCGGATCCTAAGATCCATTTTTGGGGGCAAACAAGTTCATGGTACTTGGTACAGACGTTCAAACTCAGAACTCTATCGGGCCCTTAGAGAGCCTGATGTTGTCAAGTATGTAAAAATTCAAAGAATTAAATGGGCTGGTCACATCATTCGAATGAACAGAGAGTGTTCGACCAAAGCTGAGATGGGCCGACTGCGTGGAAAGAGACATTTCAGTCTTAAAAGTCTCAAACTGGAAGACAACTGCCAGGCAGAGGCAAGCCTGGAGGAAGTTGATTGAGAAGGCCAGGGCCCACCCGGGGCTGTCATGCCATTGAGGAAGGAAGGAATTTTGTCTAAAAAGTGATTATGTTTAAAAGTAGAAAATTTGTGAAAGAGGAAAAAAAATTGTAAGAGAGATCTATCTCTTTATTCTAAAACGAAAAAATTTATAAAATTAACGCCTTACTCATATGCGAACCCAGGTTTATTTAAGCTACTTTAATTCTGTGAAGACAAATAATTTTATCCAGTTTGAGATGACCATCCATTTATATTATTCTTAATAAATATTAAACTAGTAGTTTTTCTAACCCCACTTTTTAAGCGTGTTTTGCTTATGTTTTTATATCACATTTTCTCATCTATCTCCTTTATTACAGACAGGTGTTGAATTAGAACTTGTGGATTCAGTGCCTCTTTTAGAATGGTTAGCCAATAATTATAAAAGTTTTGGTAAGTACATGTTAATTTAATACTGTATGCTTCAAAAAATGAATGAGAGGTCACAAAGTAATAAAAAGCGGAATTATGAACATTTTTGAGAATATATAAGAATGTAGATGCAGATATCTGCTAGAGCCTGCTATATTAACTGATGTTTTATAAAAGCCTTTGTTCATTCTTTGTAGCAATAATTAAAATCATCGTAGCTAACTTTTCCTATTTTTGATTTTTACTTTTAAATTCGTGTCTTCTAAATTAAAATTTCACATATATATAGAGAGAGAATATTTTAACAATTTAAACATTTAATTTTTTGAGAAATTAGTTTTTGATATTCGCTTGAGTACCAAATTTTTCTAATAAAATTAAACATATATAAGGTCACAACTTGCAATGCATTGTTTTAGTAGTAAACTTATAAAGGTAAAAAATTTATATATGTAATTTATGTCATTCTTATAGGATATAACAAATAGTGATTTGGCAGAATATTCGTCCAGAAAATAGACCGAATAGTAAAATTTTTTATTTATAAATAAGCTAAATCATTATTGAAAAATAATCAAAACTTAGCTATATTATTGGTATGGGGTAAAGGGAAACTATATTACAGGATTGCTACAATACCTGAAACGTTTGAGGGGGGGGGTGCCACCTTTACGCCACCATTTTCTGTGCATGAATTTTGTTTTCATTCATATGGCATGAAGCCATAGTTCATAAAACCGTATTGTGACTTAGTAAACTTTCTTGTGGTTTAGGATTATCGGTTTATATAATTCATGACAGAAGGTTGAATGAACTATAAATTGTCTATTCTTATTTGTGATTAAAAAAAATTGTTTGGATAATTAGTGTTTTGTAATCTCTCATAAATTATTGATGTTTTTTTTTATTGTTAATTACCTTAATCCTCTATCACGAGGGCTTGATAAATGAATTTAATGAATGTAAACTTGTTATTAAGAAATCGCGAGAAGCATGCAGATTGCTGTTCCATGTGGGAATTATAAAATAATACTATAATATCTTGGGTTTGATTTAGATTTTATTTTTTTGGGCCTATTTTTGTGAAAAATGGAAATTATATTGCTGAAAATTTGAATGTACTAATGGAATTTTATTTTAATTTACATGAAGACTTGTTTTCTTTTAAAAATTTCACTCATGTTCATTTTTGTATTTTTTCCATCATGCAGAAAATGCCAAGAAAGTTTCGAAATAGCGGGCTTTCTATATAACAAGTTCAGAGTTAAATATGTTCTTAAAAGTAGAAATATATATTATAATATAGTACATTAAAAAATAGAGACAAAGCATAAGAACTACTAATAATTACGTATGTAATGATAGTTGACTATAAGTCTAAATACAGTAATGTTAATTCTTAAAAGTATGACAAGAATAATTAATGAAATAAATAGAAAAGAATTGGTTTATTAATTTTGTATTGTAACATTGTAATTTTTCCCGAGAAAATAATTTACTGTTTTAAAAAAATTTCGACATAAGAATTCAAATTAACATTGGGTGAATATGTAATACCATGGGGGAAAATATATTTTTAGCATTACAAGGTTTTTAAGATATTGAGAACTTTGTGTATGTGCATATACATATCTATACATACTCACAGTTAAACCCCGCTATAGTCAAATTTCGGGTATAATGAGTAAAATATACGCTCCCATGCCTTGCTATTTATTGTGGATGGATGTAGTGAACCAAAATAATAGTGGAAGTTGGGCATTATGAACTTTTTTCTATCTTCAACTGATTTATTTTCTTCATTCATATATATATATATATATATATATATATTCAATAATTTTGAAATTTCTACTTCAAAATAAGTACATATACAGATTTTTTAAAACCATCTATCGCATGGAATGTAACAATAAGCATTTTTTCTTATTTGTTCATTATTTAATTGGTTCAGCATTCGAAGAAGCCGCAAGTTCCAGTATCTGGGCAAATGCTTCAAATCAAAGCTGATAAATTTGCTAAGTGATTTGGTGAGACTACTCTTATGTGCTCGAATAGCTGGTTAGGCAGGTTTAAAAAAACGGAACATCATAAATTCAGGAAAAATTATCACAGTCGGGAAGTGTTTCCATATTTGACGTTGAGAATTGCTCATCAGCTAAAGATTACATATTTTAAAAAAATTTGTACGCAGGACGAAGAGTAATAAAAAATAAAAGTTGACTCATTTTTGTTACTACAAATTATTTTTCAATCATTTTTGTATTTCAGTTTATTGGTCATTTATTTGAATAATGTGCAATAAAAGGGGGGAAGTTTAGAACTATTAGTTAAAATTGTTTGTGGTACAATTATGGTGAAGTCCTGGTTATACTGAATTGAAATTTCGGTCCCTTGAAGGTTCGCCATTTTGACTGTGAGGCGGGGTTTGACTGTGCTTGTGTATATATATATAAGTCGGCAGTAACGGATTTGTGGTCCAGTATTAAGTAATCTAGTTCCGATTCTTCAAATTTAGCTTTTCCATTTGTCTCTCAGTACATAAAATAGTAAGTTTTAGATTACTCTTAATGAAATCTATTTAAATCCAGAAAAGAAAAAAGGGGGGAGTGAAAAAAAGCTTGTCGAAAATACTTTTTCAATTTGCTGACTGATGAGTCGAGCATTTAGCCGAATATTTGGTGAAACATTAACTGCTGAGAAAGGTTAACTGAATAGTTTCTATGATTTCAAAAAATTTTTGGTTTGAAGCCGATGTCTATTCAAAGATTGCAGTTGGATCCTGGCCTCTAGGTTCTGTAATTAAGCAACCCTGCAATGAATGGTTTCATATTACTTTCAAAATTGATGATGGGCCAAAGTTATGTTATTTACCACTAATTAATTGAATATTTTATTTTTATGATGCTGATTTTGTTTAATTTTCTTTAGGAGCAACACTTGAAATTATTACTGATAGATCTCAGGAAGGATCACAATTTGTGAAAGGATTTGGTGGAATTGGAGGTATGTGAATTTTGTCTTTTACCCTTTGGTATAAAATCACGGCAACATTGGTGCAGAATGTTACTTCTTGCAGAAAGATTTTTCCTTTTAAATTGGTTTTCTTTTCTGCAAAAATTTTAAAAAGTTTTTTTTTTTTTATTTTGTTGAAATTAAAGCAATATATTTTTGATAGTTACGCACCTGAAAATTGTAAGTCACACATTTTGAGTCCTTTATTGATCACAACTCCTTTCGTTTCATCGCAAATATGTGTAGTGTTATGATAATGAACCTGACATCATTAACTTTATTAAACGACAAAGAATAAAATGGGCGGACCACATTATCAGAATGGACGAAGACCGTACCACAAAAAGAGTTTTCAATGCCAGACCAGTTGGCACATGTAAGAGAGGCAAGCCGAATTTGAGATGGATAGATGGCCTAGAGAAAGACCTTTTGGTCTTAAAAACTAAAAATTGGAAACTTGCAACAAAAAAAAAGTTAGCCTGGAAAAACCTTCTTGAGAAGGCCAAGGCCCACCCTGGGCTGTCGAGCCATTGATAATTTTTTTTTAGCAGTTCTGCTACGAATTTTTACTCAGTATTTTTTATATGTATAATACGTGAGTTTAGTTTTTGCTTTTTTTTTTNTTTTTTTTTTTTTTTTTTTTTTTTTTTTTTTTTTTTTTTTTTACTGCTTCGGATTTTATGATTTATTTATTTATTTTTTGGTATTCTCAGCACTTCCGTTACTTTAAATTAGTTACATATATATTTGTTATCATTAAAAATATCTCACAGAAAAATATTAATGCTAAAGAGTTTTGTCGCAGAAAATCCCCAAAAAATTCTTTTATTAGTTTAATTTATGAATGATAATTAATTTTTGCAAAGTGATATTGAAAATAGTATTAAACTTGTTTACTAAGCTATTATTTACTATTCGACCAATTACTATGATCAACATAAATCCTTTCTCCATAGTTTTTGTTCAAATTTTTAGTTCAAGGGCTGTTTCTGTAATTAATATTCATTAAGATATATTTAATTTTCTAGGTATTCTACGGTACAGAGTTGACTTCCAGAGTCTTGAGGTTACTGATGGATTAGATGATTTTGATCTAGATGATTTATAAATTTTTTATACTGGGTGCTAAGACTGTGCATCATTTATGCAAGATGAATGCTGCTCTGTTCAACTTATCATTCATATCTGAATTTGTTGGAACAATAACTTTTGACCAATTTTTGTACTGAGACTTTACATAATTCCTTTTGGTTTATGGTATTAATATTTATAAATTCTCATTCTGTTTTGTTATAGATTTTGGGAAAAGCTATAAAAAAAATTTAAAATTTTAATAAACTCTAAATTTTTGAATATCATATTCATCTTGTAAGTTTTTATTTTGCCGTTTTTATATTTTGAAACTTTAGTGCATGAATTACAACAATGCTGGTAAAACGGGCATGCAACATCTAAGCTCAAATTTGAAATAAACAATGCCTAAGTAACATTTACTTGTTTTTGCCTTCTTTATTTTAATCTCAAGATGTATTTTCATTATTTGGAGGGGGGAATTATTTTTAAAATAAAGCTAAAATATTTTGATCTGTTGATTTTTGTGTTGTCATATATTTAAATAGTGTTAAAAATGAATTAAATTTGATCAAATGAAAGAAAAATTAGAAGAATAATATGCCATCGAAACAGCGTTGATTTATTTTGTTTACCTTAAACTTTTTTCCACAATTTAAATTAGTTTGTTTCAGGTTTGGTTAACTGTTATATATTTTTTTTTTTATCGGCTTAGTAAAAAGAATAAAAATCTGGATCAGAAGTGAATTGTTCAAACTATAACTGTTCATTTCACTTTTGATGTGCATTTTGCACATAAAAATTTTGTAATATTTTCATTTCACAACCACGAATTTCATGTCATGGTCATGAAAAGTGTTTGATTCTGTGAGTCACTATTTTACATTGATCATACTTGAGATAATTTGTGATATTTCAGCAGTTTTCTTTTAAGTTTTTTAGGCTGTTATAGAACATAACTCTTAATTTTTCATAAGTTTTCTTTGAAAGAATGAGCTTGTTGTGTTTTTGAAAAATTTTATTTGTATATGTTAGCACTTATTAAATGACACTGTTATCAATTCAATTTCGACAAATTGATTGTTTCTATTTAGTTTAAAGGGCTGTGCTGACTAATAAACAAATGTGTAGTGGTTTGACTTATATCAATATGCATAAAAAAATAATCTCAATTAAAATTATTTTACAACATTCCACTATTAAAATCAAGCATATTCATCTCAATAATGAAGCATGTTAATGTTTCTTTTTCTTCAAAATCATAAGTGCTCAACAAAAAAATGAATTTTCTGAAATTTATTTTAAAAAAATAGTTAATAAATTTTAAACTATATAATCAAATAACCATAAAAAATATCTATAGATTGCTTATTTGATATTGTATTCAAAATTTTTGCTCAATTTTAGTATTTATTTATCTGTAAATTTGCGAGTAGTTTATGAAAATTTTGTCTGACAAAAGTACTTCAATATAGTTATGCTTAAATAATTGTTTTGTTATAAAAATTTATTACTCAACTGTTCCTGTTGTATGGAAATGTTCCAGGCTGATTTGTGACTAAATTCTTTAAATATTGTCTAATATTTTCAATACTTTGTTTTGCCTATCTTCTTTCTAGATTCATAATCTAGTAGTCTACTTCCTAATTTCAAAAATACTTCCGGCATTTTCTTTATATTAAAGTTAAGTTTTGTAAAATATTCGTGGAAAAGGTATCTTTTGTAGTGACAATAAGACTAATTTATTATAAGAAACACTTATTGTCAGTGCTAAATTTATACTTACAGCAAAAATATTTATTAACACTTGTCATCAGTTATTTATTTAAGTGTCACTTAAACTTTGTTTCGACTTATAGTTTCTGATGAAGTAAAGGCTATTGACTTAATATATGAACTCAACTAAATTTATCGACATATTTAATTTTTTTACAAAAATTAAAAATAGATTAGAAAATTGGCTATAGAAGATAGATATAAATTTAAAGAAGTATGAAATTTAACTGTTCAAGATTGCTTATTAAATTACATTTTCCTATAAAACTAATAAATTGTATGATGTATTTTATTTATCTGCATTTTTACCTATGTAATAAAGACTAAATATATGCAATAAAAAGCTATATATTTTTAATATTGAAATTGTGATAAATTTCTTCTTTTGCCAATGCCTTTGAATGTTTTCATTTATGAACATTTTCTTTCTTTTACCAATCATTTCACTCATAGGATATACTGAACTTTTTATCATGTATGAAAAGGGTAAAAATTATAAAAAAAATTACATTATTCATCAACTCTAAAGATTTATGTGCATTGTTATTCAAAAGTCAGGCGTACAAAAAATAATATTTTTGAAAACACACATTTGTTAAAAATCAAGTAAAAGGAAACTAAATAAGATACTGTCCGAATTTGTTTTGTATTACTGTGTCAGAGATGCCAACTTGCTCCGGACTGCAAATATATATTTTACAGTGGTAGTTTATCAATTGTGATTCTTGGTTTAATAAATTCAATTTAGTAGATTTTTATTCACCACTATTTCTAAATAATTCTTAGGCTTGTATAATTCACCACTTTATAGTCCTTATATCATGCTATACCTTTTAAAAAGCAAGCAATAATAGTCAAATATTCCCAAAATTTACTTGTAGTTATGTACCGTTTTTTAAATTATTTTGGCGTGTCCGGAGCAGTTGGCATCTCTGCTGTGTATTAAAACTACTTTACTTTTTGAGTAAAAGTCTGAATTAAGGAAAACAAGATTGCTTAAATGAATTTTATAGAACATTTTTGAAAAGAAGAGTTAAAGCAAAGAGTTATAGCATTACTTTGGATTTCCTTCAACATTTTTAATGCACAGATGATTTTATTTATTAACATACTATAAGAATTGCATTAAAAGTTCTCAAACTTTCTTTGACAAAATTTTTTTAAATTCATGTTTCTGTTGGAAAATTTTTTTGCTCTATTCCATTTCAATCCTTGTTTTTACAGATAAACCTTTGAATGAGTATGTCTTCTAGGCCATGCTTTAGAAATGCATTGTCTTTTATACAGAGATGAGAAATCTTCCGCTTTTTTGTGAATTTTAACTCATCTTCCGATTTGTGAACGAGTTTTATCCAACATCGACAGTTATATGATCAAAAGTTTTGGATATCCGAAAGTTAAGTAACTTATTGGAATTTAGGTAAAATTGTCATGGTTAGAGCACGACATAAAATGATTATTCAAATGAGCTATACAAAATTTGTGGATCGTACAAAAAGAAATCGAAATTTTAAAAACCATGCGGAAGTTGAAAGCACCAAACAATAGTTATAAATGATTTTATTGATCGAATTTTCAATTGCGTGATAGGAAATTTTTCTTTCTAAATTTCCAGTATTGAAGCATTGAGATTTTTTTTAAAAAACTGCGAAAATCTGCAGTAATAATTGCCGAAAAAGCAATAAAATGCATCTCGATAGTGAAAAATCTGTAACAGTTGCTGCTTTAAAAGTGATGCAGAAAACCACAAGATTTTAATGCGAAAGAGATAGTTGCTAATAGATTGCATCGACATGTGATTATTCAAATGCTTGACTCGCTTTACATTATAAAATCGAATAAAAATATCAACATTTTGAAAACTGGAAATCAGACATGACAAAAACACTATTGACGTAAAATTTATCAAAAAATTAAACATTCTGGCCAATGAGAGCAGGAAATTAAATAATGAGGAAAAATAAAATGAAGTTTACCTTAAAGTTTAAATATTTTTAAAAAAATATTGGGCTTGTAATTTTTAAAACGCGTTTGTTAAATATTCGTAGCTGAAATAATAATAAAATGTATGAAATAATAAAATCCGGAAAATTTGATAAAATTAGTCCGGAAATGTCGGGGAACGCGTGGACACCGTTAATGAAATTCGGTTCAGCTCATTGTTTACTATGCAGCTAAGACTTGCCTTTGGACCATGATAATTTGATTTTCTTTTTATACGAATATTTTTTCAGCTTTTTTTTTTTTTTTTTTTGTTNTATTGTGTGTTCTCTTTGCTGAATATGTAATTTCAAACATAACTTTATTGTAAATTCAGAGGCGCTGAATTCGTGTGTGTTATTTATTTTTGAACCAATTAAATGGTTTCAAAATTATTCACCCCCTTCCCCCAAAAAAATGTTTTATCTTGTATAAGAAAAATAAAATGAAGCCAGATGTGGTGCAAGTGAAACATGAAGTTTATGTTTTTAGGTTAGCACTTCAAAACGGTATTTTTTTTTTTTTTTAATTTTTGCTTTTGAAAGCATATATATCTTATTTTTGCTGTTTTCGAAGTTCTTTTTAAGTGGCTTTCATTTTTTTAGCAATCACTATTTTTAATAATGAAAAAAAAAATTGCTTGACATTAGAGGAGAGTAATTCGTGACATTGATAAATTATGATCATGAGTTAAAGTTCTAATAACTTGTTTTGCTTAATCTAATAACCTTTGCAAAGAGTGGAATTGTACTGTTAAATTCAACTTTCCTTACATAACAAAGAATCTCGTTAATGAAAGGTACGTGTAATAAATTAAGTATAATGCTTATGATCTTATTTTTATTTAAAAGCATCGAAAAATTTGGAATTCTGTATAACATATGTAAATTTTTATCTCACTTCATGCATTCCTGTGGTTTTCTATCGTGACATTATAGTGCGAAGGATGTGTGGTTTAACCCTTCGTTAGATGATGGTTTCGTAGTGAAAATCTTCTAAACTGCTTTTCTTTTTTACTAACCTCATTAATTTTGAAAATTATAGATAGCAAATCTCCACAATTATTATGAATCTTGGCAAAAATGCTTGATCCAAATTTTGCTGCGCTGCATTTTAAAGATGGTTCTGAAATGAGAGTGATGTATAAAAATTATTAAAAGAACCTTTACAATAGTTCTTTTTATAATTTGCAGAGTTCGCAGTTATCTCGATTTTCCTAATAAAAAAATTTTCCTTCTGATTTTTGTGTGAGTTCAAAGCATCTCATTTTCTACGAATACAAACGCGGATTTTAAAATAATCTATATGAGGAATCAAGAGAATTGTGTTTTCGATGCAATGACTTTTATTTCAATTGCTGTTAAAAATCCCGAAATTCGATTGATTGAACTTAGGGACAACTGTTTGGAAATTCAAGTCATTTTAATAAAAACTCAGTTAACAATTTTACAGTATGAAATTTTTATGGTGATGAATTCAGTGTCATTATGCTATTTTATTACGGTGATTTCGCACCTTTTTTTTAAAAGTAAGTACGCATGCGTCAACTCTTTTGAAATACATATGCGCCCATTAAAAAATATCTAACTTGAATAAAAATATGAGATATGCAAAAACCAGTAAATTAAAAACGCTATGATAGTGCAGGGTTCCCACGGTCCTTGAAAGTCCTTGAATTTTTTTTTGCTAAATTTAGGTCCTTGAAAGTACTTGAAAAACGTCTTAGGTCCTTGAAAAACTTGATAGGTCCTTGAATTTGTCCAATACTGCCGGCGGCCCTTTTTATAAAGCACCCGCGGATCTTTCTCCTTCTTTCTGTTTTGTTCCCGAGCTCACTCACGTGGTTTTTAACGCCACCGTTTCTAACCGGGCCTAGCGTCTTGGTGTCTGCCAAGCGNGCAGCCTTCACATGGAAATACACAGGATTAAAGGATTTCACCATTAACACCTCATTACCATTAGTTATAGATTGTGCTGAAAATGATTTTGTGAATTAATATGTAAAACCAGTAGGGTTGTTTTTAAAAAAATATAAATTTTAGTCCATAATACATATACTCTCTTCTCTCTATATAGACAAAGCATTTAGGTATTATATTTGAAATTAATTATTGCCACAACAAGCATTGTTGCTTCCAGTAAAATAGAAGAGAATAATTTTTAAAATTGGTCTTAGATTAAGGTCCTTGAAAATTTTGTTGAGGTCCTTGAAAAGTCCTGGAAAGTCCTTGAATTTCAATCTCATCATAGAGTGGGAACCCTGTAGTGGAATATCAACCTTAAAAAATTTTAAACTAAAACCAATTTTTTTTTTTTTTTTTTGTTAAATCAAACAATGGTAAATATCTCATGATTCATTTTAACATTTCGTAATTACGAATTCTCTCATCCCCATTTTGTGTTCTTGATCTATCTGTAACATGTCCATTCGAAAGATGGCTTACATAGAAAACGCTATTTAACAGCTATGAACAGATTGTTTGTAGCTTTGTAAAATCACGCCAACAAGTTATATTCATTTTTACTCCGAATTGGAGCATAGGGCTTCTATCATAGTTTTCTATCTCTCTCTATTGGTGGACAGATACTTTGCCTCTCTCCATGTCTTTCCAGTTTGCAATCATCCTGCGCCAAGTATTTTTTAGGTCTTCTCACTTAATTGCCCTGAAGGTTCCAATCAAAAACTTAATTTACTTTAAATTTTTCAGGTTTACGTAGAACATTAACCAATCCATTTCCAATTACGGTTTTTAATTTCCAGATCAATTTGTTTCTATTTTGCTTTTCTAAGGATTTCTGCATTACAAATTTTATGGAACCACTTGATACATAAGATTCTTCTTAAACAGTTGTTAATGAATATTTGAAATTTTTTAATGTTATTTTTATTGCAATGCTATATCCCAGATCCGTATAGCATTTTAGATTTAACATTAGTATTGAAAATTCTAATTTTTGATGAATGTGTGATGTTTTTGTTTTTTCCAGGATTTATTGAGAATACCGTAACTGCTTAGGGTATTGTTTAGACTATTTAGTATATCTTCAAAGTAAAGTTACGCAGGATCTAAAAAAAAGAAAAAACGTAAGCGCACACATGCACAGTTGCTTTAAATCTTACTTACGGAATTGAACGTAAATTTGAGAAATCTCCCTATTGCAACGTATCGTAAGCTATATAAATAACCAGAGCCGGATTATACCTTTCGTAGGCCCTAGGCATAGCCGTTTTTGGGCCCTCCCCTCCTTTCCCCACTTCTCCCCTCTTTTCAAAATATATGCTAAAATTTTCTTGCATATTTTTTTTTACATTTTTATTAATATTCGACATATTATTAATATTTGATATTTTATTAATATTCGACATTTTTATAAAATTCGAAAGCATAATACAAGATTTCGTTGAATCCAAAAATCGCAAAAAAGTAATATATTAGATCATAAGATTCTGCAAAATAATTTATAATTGAAAAATATTATATTTTTATTTGTATCTTCATAATTTTGTGCAAAATACACTTGTTGTTTTTAAAGCTAAATTATTTTTGTCAACAAATTTTTTTCTCCCAAGTTTTTCGTAGTCCCTAGGCACATGCCTATAGGTTAATCCGGCCCTGTAAATAACAGTTCAGTTTTTTTATAAAGAAGACTTTTATTCGCACACACAAATAGTAACAGGTTATAAGAAAACACAAATTCCAAAACAAAACTTATCTCTACAAAAACCAACTTTCTGTTGTTCTAAAAAGGTCTTCTAATTTTATCGTCTGCTTTTATATTATTGTTTATCTCTTTATGCGTTTATTTTATTTTATTCATGCTTTTGCTAACCCGTTTTTTATTTAATATTTTTACTTTTATTCTTGCTTTTGCTAGCCAATTATTTTGTAATATTTTTAGACTTTATACTATTACTTTCAGCAAATCTTGTAGGGTTGGGTGCTTAGTAGTATCAAAATTATTGATTCCTCTCTTTCATCTGATTTTAAAAATGATAGATTTCAATCATACCTAGGAATTTTTAAATGCTAAAGAGAGCATCATCCGCTAAATTATTTTTGTATGAAATTGTTTATCTGCATACTTACTGCGTTTTTTATTTTGATATTAAAAACTTACTTTATCAAATCAATTCATAAAAATTAAATTGTCGGAAACTATTTCAAACAAATTATTTTCCTATTTCGGTATTTTCAACCAACATATCCATACTTTCAATAGTTAAGCTTAACTAGTAATTCAGCAGTTTTCGATAGTATAAATTTTTAACAAAAGGATTACTTAACTAGAGACAAGATAATAGAGATTTCAAACAAATTATTTTCCTATTTCGGTATTTTCAACCAACATATCCATACTTTCAATAGTTAAGCTTAACTAGTAATTCAGCAGTTTTCGATAGTATAAATTTTTAACAAAAGGATTACTTAACTAGAGACAAGATAATAGAGATACATGTTTTATTATTTTTGTCGTAACAATAGTTTCTGTTTTTAGTTAAGCGATAATGCGATAGGATTTTGATTTGTTTCCTTTAACTCATTTTCCGATTATATAATGTAATACATTTTTATTTGCGAAACAAAAATAAATTCTTAGAAGCTTAAGATATAAAACTCGTAAAATACATTTTTGATTTTTTTCTCTTTTTAAAAACAAATATTTTTAGAAAATACGTATTGAATTATACCGGAAACTTTCCTCATTAGAGGAGGATGTCTTCCTTAGAAAGAATTTGGCCATTTTTAATTTTTCTTATTTTAAATCTATCAAAGAATTGATTTACCTATTGGTGGAAAGTGTTTCTTTTTGTAACGGAATTATAAAAGTTGTCTTTATTTACAGGGAGCGGAAAAAGAAGAAACGAAAAACTCGGACTAAGTTAATGCATTATGGAAATTAGTTAATGAATCTGCATTCACTACTTTCTTTTTAATTTATATGTTCAATTCTTTTTGTCTACCACTTAAATTATTAAATGATTTATAATACATCTCTTATTTTACGTTTAGTTTTTTAGTATGTTTTACTATGTCAAGCAAGCCACTCAAAATGCTTATCGTGGCAAACTTCGGCGACTTCGAAACCAATTAAATTTAAAGTCTACAATTATTATTATGTATTAGAATCCTCTTACCATCAAGTTAACCGTGGGTGGTTATCGGTTTTCCTCACCGTGTAACGCAAATGCGGGTTACTTTTCCAAGAAGCTCTTCACGAAGGTTAGTTTAACCCATTATTTGATCCAGGTGCGCGCAAGGTTTGAGGGCGCACAATCCAGAAATGATACACTGTGATTGGGGTGCACCATTTGCGGTCCACGGCAGCACCTGAATATCATAATAATAATTTTTAAAAAAATTGATTATGTTATTTTGAATCGTGCATTTTTTATCGGGGTAAATTTTAAATCAATGTAGTTTCACTTTTTTTCTTTTTACTCTAACCCGTGATACATCTACCGCTGATGATATTTTACTTCAGCACTGTGGTCGGTGTGAGCCAACCAGCCATTGCCGGGATTCGAACTCGATTCATCTCATTGGGGGGCGGGCGCTCTATCCCCTGAGCAACCACGGCTCTTTCAAAATAATTTTTATTTTATAACCATCATTGAACAGCAGACCCAATTTTGTGCTAACGACTACTAATGTTCAACTCCGTAGTCCTGTAATTTTGAACCAATCCAGAACACCAGGAAACTTCTGGATCAGTACCCCCAGAGGTATGATTTGTTATGGGAACATCGAGGACTTTGTGACTCGACAGATTTAGTGTGCATCAGTCACCATTTACTTTTCGGGGAGTCTTTGCCAGGCGGAGATCAAAGTCTTGTCCGGCCTTTTCAAAATAATTTTATATTCTACTACCGTCGTTGAACAGCCGACCCAATTTAATGGGTTTACGACTACTAATGTTCTACTCCGAAACCTTGCAATTTTGAACCCAATCCAGAAGACAAGGGAACTCCTGGATCGAGTATTGGGAGAAATTTGCCTTTGTGGACAGTGGCGTAGCGAGCTTAACTCGCGCCCGGGGCACAAAACTTTTTTAGCGCCCCCCCCCCATTCGAAAACCATATAGTATTATATGTAAAATGTACTCCCAAATTATTAAATAAATAATGTAAAATAAATAAAGTCATAGGCTCAAGCTAGACTTAAAATTTGAGACAAAAAATGCAGTTGAGAAAACAAGACTACATTCTGAATTGTATATGATCATCTAGAATTAGTTCAAAAAATACCTATTATTTATTTTACATATTTATAAAGAAATATTTTAAAAACACGCAGTAATAAAACAATAAAAAGTAAACATTTATTATCTCTAAAGGGATACATATATTTGATAATAATATGATTATAATACATTAATAAAACTAATTACTATGTATAAATTTTCCTTGCTTTTGATGAAGCAAATTTATCAATAATATCAAAGTTGATCATTACAAATTTGTTTCTTTCCACACTTAATGTTAGGTCACTTAGACGATCTTGTCCCATCGTTGATCGTAGATATGTCAAAATTAATTCTAATTTGTTGAATGAACGTTAGCAGCTAGCAGTTGATACTGAGATAGTTAGGAGTATTTGAAGCAGAGTTGGCCGTTGATTACAGTAATCGATTACAACTGTAATTGATTACAGATAATTACAGCTATGTAATCAATTACTTGTAATCACGATTACAAGTAATCAATTACTTGTAATCATGATTACAACTTTCAAAAAATTTTGTTTACAGCTGTAATCATGATTACAATTTTGATTACAGTAATCAATNTTGGCGCCCCTTTGTGAGTAGCGCCCGGGGCATGATGACCCCCCTTGCCCACCCCTCACTACGCCACTGTTTGTGGAGGACTTTTTGATGGAGCTAGTCCGCATTTGCGTTACATGGAGAGGAAGATCACGGAAGCCTCCCACGGTTAGTCTGACGGCAAGGGGACTCTAACTCATGATCCGTCTATCACTGAAGATAATTCACGTCAGCATTGTGGTCGGTGCAAGCCGGATGCGGAATTCGTATCGACTGGGATTCGAACCCGGCTCGTCTCAGTGGAAGGCGAACGCTCTATCCCCAGAGAAACCACAGCTCTTTCGAAATAATTTTATTTTATATCCGTCGTTGAACAGCCGATCCAATTTTTGGTTTACGACTACTAACGTTCCACTCCTTAGCCTTTATTATTTTGAACCAATACAGAAGGCAAGAAAACTTCTGGATCAGTACCCCCAGCGGTATGATTTGTTATGAGAACATGGAGGACTTTGTGACTCGACAGATTTAACGTGCATCAGTCACCATTGCGGAGAGTCTTCGGCCGGCGGGGATCGAACTGCATATTTTCAAAATGATTTAGGAAATTTAGATCATTACATATTTTCAAAATAATCAGTACTCGTTCGCCAATCAATAGGTTCACAGTTGCTTATGAAATTTATTCATTTAGTCTCAGGATCCAGCGGATAGAAGGTATATCATTTAGGTTTCCACAGAAACCTAAATGGGTTTAGGTTTCTGTGGAATTACCCCCAAATGGGGTAATTCCACAGAAACCTAATGGGAATAATTGATCCCCCCCCCCCAAATGGGAATAATTGATCGTCATAACATGGTACTTTGTTTCTAGACGGCGTGTATGTGAGGAGAACGGGCTTTTTTTCTTTCTTTTTTTTCCTGAAGTGTGGCATTTATGGACAACCTATTCATTTCGAAATGAAATGGGTATATAAAGATAACGTATTTGCTAACATGATTTGCAAAGCGGATATGACAAATCTCATTCGGAAGAGGAAAAAGTAACTTTTTTGTATCACACTTTATTTACCCCATCACCTTCTGAATTAATTTACTTTAGTTCTAAAAACAAGTTTTACAAAAATGTAATTTTCAACAGGATGCTCGCTAATATAGGAAGAAAAAAAAAGTATGATATAACCCTTTCTTTATAACAACACGTACTTATATTTACAGAATAAATTAAGGTTTTTTTTTTTTCAACGCTTCTAATTTTTTTTAAAGGACGCATTATGTTTAGAAGATGGGTGGATCAGATTTTATGGAAATTCGGGAATTTCCTTACAGCGATGCAGGACGAAAACATTCTTCTATGTTTTTTTTCCACCTGTTAGATCACGTTACCAAAGCGGAAAACCCGGAGAACTGCTTAGTTTATACTTGGATTTAATTGGTTGTTATTACGCAACGGGAGGACTGTGCCGGCAGATTTATCGTTCCATTCAAAAATATTCATTTGTTTGAGTCACTTAGACAGGGAAAATTTCGAAGTAAGTTGGTATTTTTTAACTTATATGATTTCTAGATATTATAACTTCATTAATCTTGCCCACTCACTATTACTAAAAAAATTTCAATTTTTTAGAAATGATTAATTCAATTTATAAGAGAAAAAATTATTTACCTAAAATCTATGAATTCCTTTCATAATTTTATTAACTATGGCAAATTTTTAATTTTGACAACCAAAGCATGATATGAAAGCAATTTATGAAAGGTATTATGGCAATTCAGTTTCAAAATAGAAAATTTAGTGTTTAATTTGTGTTTAAAATAACTTCAACACATTAAAACAGTTTTGCTCGTAAGCGAACGCAAGATTTTTTTGCATTGAAGGGAGGCGGGCCCTATACTGTATCTACAAAGTAAGTATAAAAAAAATGTGAAAATTTTTTACATTTAATAAACTTGAAAATATTTTTTATTTACCCTTTAAATTAAAGTTTATAACTTTTTTTTCGTGAACTTTAGCAATAACAATTTTTAATTCAAATTCATGTCAAAAAAAAATTACACTGCTGTCACCGCCGATTCAGAATATTATCGTTCGGTGTGGTTTTCAAGCTCATAATAGAAAAACTATAGTAACAAAATTTATGAAATTTTGCACTTATTCAGAAAAATGTTAAAGGAATATTCTGATATGGAAATGTTACTGTTGCTGACAATAGTTTGTTTTTTTTCTACGTGAACTTTTGTAACATAAATTTTTAATTCAAATAAATTCTATGTCAAAAAAGTTGCTGCTGTCACAGCCGATTCAGAATATTTTCGCCCGGGGATTTTGAATAATAATGCAAAAACTGTAGTAACAAAATGTATGAAATTTTGCACTTGTCCAGGAAAATGTTAAAGGAACATTCTGATATGGAAATGTTATTGATGTGGACATTAGGTTTTCTTTTTTTTGTGCGATTTAATATTGAATAAGAAGTTATAAATGAGAAGTAATTTCACTCGTTGACGAGACTTATAACAATTCAAATATGGGACGGTTTTTTATTGCTCTTTATTAAGTTTTTTTTTCTTCTTTAAATTCAATGTAAATATTAAGATAGGTTTTCTGCAATATGCAATCTCTCTCTCTCTCTTTGTTTCTTTACTACTCATTGACTCTATTCGAGGAGAAGGGAATTATTAAGAAGGAAAAAAAAAAAGATCACTTGAGGGGGGGATCTTTTTTTTTTACAATGAATAAATAACAAAAAGTTGAGTCAAAAAAGATAAACAAATCACGAAAAAGTATTTAAATTTGCAAAAACTTTCGAACAAATTGGAATTTTGAAAATAGACGGATTGGAATTCAGAAACAGAGATGGCTCTTTTAGCATCAACTCTGTAGTTGCATTTCTGCGATTTGTATGGTATTAGAAGTTTAGAAGCAAATAATTCTGGCTTTGGAACCCGATTCGAGGTAAAGGATTACACTGGGATGGTCCCATACATAGGTCTCAAAAAAAAGTAAATGACGTCGTTATACAAATAAGATATTCACCATCTTCAAAACCAAAGGTGATAAATATGTACATTATGATCGGCTTGCCCTTTATCATTGTGTAAATTAAATTTCTAGAACATGGTCTTTTACATTGCAAATAATGTAAAACTATTTCATATTTCTAATGCGTGTTTAGTAATTTTTTCTAAGTAGTTTTCTTGGTTAAGTAACGTTACTTATCATGTAAGCCTAGTTTAATTTATGTAATGCCAAATTTTGTGGGGTAGTTTAGTGTTGGCACACCGTGAACATCCCGAATTCGCCAAGTTGGCAGAGGTCGGTAGTCTATTAAACGAATATTTAATTATCTAGTGTTAAAAATATTTGAATAAACAATAGATAATTCGTAATTTTGTTAAAACAGAATGACTGTTTACGTGTATTTTGAGAAAAACTGGTTATCTAGTCGCAGAACCTTCTAATAACATTTTTTTAAATAAAAATTGTAAGCTATGTAATTTTATCAAGTTTTTCTCATTAGAATAATCTCTTGTTCAAATTTTCATTACCATAATGATTTTTTTTATTTATTTAATCAGTATGTTACATTGTAACATACACCATAAAAAAATTAGGATCAAATTACGGTAAAAAGCACCGACACTAAAGGATCCAGTAATTTTTACCGTAAAATCAATTTTTTACTGGGACATATGATATAATATGATACACCGTAACACGAAAATAAATACACCGTAATTTTTACTGTAATAATTACCGTAAAATCACTCTAAATAAATAAATAATACTGTAAAATGTACGGCATAATATTTTACTATAAAAATGGATTCTACGGTAAAATGGATTTTTACAGTTAGATTCACATTTTCACCATTTCCCATGATTCATCTAAATAGCAATCAGCAGTTATTGAATCTGTTTTACGCAATTGATTTTAATATTTAAATTGCAAAAAAAAAATAATAAATCCTATAGTTCAGAACAAAATTTAAAAAGCTCCGAAAGAGTTGATATCTTCTAAAACGCACGTGGAATTCCACGTTTCAGGTTTGGCTCATAACCTTCGAACCCTTTCATTTATATTCGTCCAGTCACAAGATGAGAAGGTTAACAAGATAAAAATGTAAATGAATGTCTGCATAAAGGTTTTTTCTTTTTTTTGAAAAATGAAAGAAAAAACAAGATTAATATTATAAATTAGCTAATAATATATTGCATACAAGCCTTTCTTATGTATTGTAAGAAGAAAATACGTTTGTGAGCAAGGGAAATTATTTTGGTCATTTTAATCATAATTGTGAGCCTTGTAAAAAGACTTGTTTCCGGTATTAAAATGTCGGGGCAAATAATCAATGAGTATTATTTAAAAAATATGTGTGTGCAATATTTTTTACTCACAATTCTAGAACCTTTTTTCATTACCACAGTATTTTCCTCGTTTAATGCTAACAGATAATGATCATGTAATTTAGACAGGTCAATAATATTATTCTCAAAACCAAACAATATTTTATAAGTTCCAAACATGATTAACTCTTGAATGAATGAATCTCAAATGAATTTCTATTGTTAAAATAAAATTATGAAAATAGTTTTTTTTTATTACCATCACATTTAGAATGCTTTTCTTTTTCTTTTCTTCCTTTTCACTTTTCCCATTAAGCCATTTTCAATGAAGTATTGTTCTATGAAGAATGTATTCCTCTCATTTTAATGTTTAAATATGTAGAAAAATTCTATTACCACATTTTTTATGAGAAACATAAATTTTTTACACCAAAATATGCACCAATGGTGTTTTAAACACCAACACAAACTAAAAAAAAAAAAAATAACATTACGATCGTTGAAAGAATCATTGTGCTTTCATGCATCCAATTTATTCTAAAACAAAAGTTAAAAGTTTGCATATGGATAACAATTTCGCTGTTTATAATATCGTTTGCTGAAATTTTTCTTCTTCTCACTTTATAATTCTATATTTTAAAGAAATATGCTTGAGCAAAATATTTTTAAAAAGCTTCGAACTATTTTAGAATAAAAGCTTGTAAAATATGCAAAAAGAGAAAACGAATTTCATTTTATATTAAACGCTTTTAAATCTGTATAAATTATATGGCAACATGCTTTTCAAATTATGTTAAATATCAACTACTTTCAGAATAATTTTTTATTTGTACAGTGGTAAATTAGAAACATTAGGTTCATTTATGGGTATGTACTATTTCCAAAATCCATAAAAATGGGGATATAGCAAGAAGCACTATCTTTAGGCATACTAAAAGATAAGTAATGAGTGTAAATGCTAAATGCATACAAAAATGCTGTTGATTTTTTTTTATCCATTTATTATTTATTTTATTTTGATATTTTTGGATTATATATTATGCAGATGTTTATTTTTATTCATACTATTTCAATTGGTTTAAAAGTTTGCTAATTATAAAGATTTTAATAAATAAAATTCGTTAAACAAATAAAATGTTACAAAAAATTTCTCCAATATCGATTTAAGTGACATTCATTCTAGGCGGCATTTAGCACATATTTTTTGTTGTTGCTGTTTCTTGCCAGATTCCAAAGCAGTTTTAAATTTTATGATACCCCGATATGTATAACTGGGCTAAAGTAACCCTATCTTCACTATGAATTAGGTCAAAATTATTGAATCACATCGCGCAAACAATTATCTTAAGCGAAACTGTGACAAATAAAAGATGCGTGTTTGCATATCTTATTTGTTTTATTGGTTAATAAAAACAAAAATATTTGTTTCATTTATTCATTCTTCACTATTAATGAATCTATCTTTTTTTTCCGCTGTGGAAAATCCCGCATTTATATTTTCTCTCTGCCTCACTAACCCCATTGTGTACTTTTCAGAGGTTACTATTCTGTAAATCCTGTAACGATGTGAAATGCTAACAAGAATCTCTATTCTTCTGAAAGTTCTACGTAATTTGGATTTTCGATGCTAGAAAAAAATAAAGTATTTGCCAGAAATCACTTTGTATTCAACTTGAAAACTTCATATCAAGCCGGAGGTATTTAACTTTTCTAACATTGCATAAATATCTTATTTTGTTTTTTAATAAATATTAAGAATAAGAATAATTATACTAATTAAGTAGTAATCTATAAGAAATTAACTTAATAATGTATTGCAAGAATTTATATTTTGCTTTATGTGATTTATCAATTAGTGTTTGAAATGCAATAGTCATTAATCGAGCCGTACATGTTTTATTTTATAATCGTCGTTGAAGAGCCTACCCAATGTTAGGTTTATGATTATCAATGTTCAACTCCGTAGCATTGTAACTTTGAACCCAATCCAAAAGACAAAGAAACTCATGAATCAAGCATTTTCACAAATTAGTCTTCGAAAAAGGTCCTTTTGATGCAACTAACCCGCATTTGCGTTACATGGAGAGGAAAACCACGAAAAAATCCCACAATTAGCCTGCCGGCAAGGGGACTCGAACCCATGATCCCTCTACCACTGAGGATATTTTACGTCAGCAGTGTGGTCGGTGCGAGCCAGGTGCGAAATTTATATTAACCAGTCATCTCTATGGGACTCGAACCCGGTTCACCTCATTGGGCAGCGAACGTTCTATCACCTGAGTCACCATGGCTCCGCCGTATATATTATTATATTTTATTTTATAACCGTCGTTGAACAGCCGACTCAATTTTGGGTTTAAAACTACCAATGTTCAACTCCATAGTCTTGTAATTTTGAATCCAATTCAGAAAACACGGAAACTCTTAGATCAAGTAGTGGGAGAAATTTGCCTTAGCGGAGGACTTTTTGATAGAACTAACCCGCCTTTGCGTTACATGCAGAAGAAAAGCACGAAAACGTCCCATAGTTTGCCCGAAGGCGAAGAGACTTTAACCCATGAGCCATAACCAACTTTTGTCATGATTTCGACAAGACTAAATGTCACAATTTGAATTTTTCCTATTTCAACTCTAATCAATGTTTTTTTTTTTTCCCTCCAGCATTGAATTTTATTTCTAAAGAAGTATTTAAGATTAACATAGATATAAATTAGTTATAAATTTTTTAAGAGATTTCCTGCTAATAATGTTATTGCAGAATGAAGTAAAGCAACGAAAGATTCCGTGGTTTCACCGTAGCTGTACAAGAGCGGTACTAACAAGCACTTGAATAGGCAAATCATTACTACAATCGGAAAGGGAAAAAAAAACTCTATTTTGTATTATTTTCCCCCCTAAGCAAGTACCTGCATTTTCATATCTCTTCCTCCTATTTATCTATATTCTATAGAATGTCAGTTGTTTAAAATATTTTTATCTTAAGCGACAACTACAGACCTTGGCTAACAGTGCGTGCACGGCTGGTACTTTATGGAAGTAGTCATGTTTAAACAAAAGGCCGCGTATTCTATAATGCGGTGTTCAGATCAATGTTACATTTTTTAATTCTTCTAGGTCTTGAATGATTAACTTCTAATATTATGAAACTTGTTCACCAAAATCTTATAACAGTTTCATTTATGTGCAATTAGTGTTAATGATTTGATTGTATGCAGTTATTATGTAATAACAATCATAATAATTATTTAATAATAATCATAAGAATTATTTAATAACAATCATAATAATTATTTAATAACAATCATAATAATTAATTTATTATAACAAAATAATAATGAGAATGCATTAAAGAAACAAATATAGTCAATGCTATCGATGGTTAGTTAAAAAAACAAACTAATATTAACTTTTTTTTTTAGTTATTTTGTTGAATTATGCGCAAACTATTCTAGATTTACCTAATACGTGAAATTAATTTCAGAAATAATTTTAAAAATATTTAATTTGTTTCCAGACTAGACAAATGTTGTTAGCGTAGTGGCTTACGGAAAATTCTTTATTTACACTTCATCACAGTTCGTTTTATTTAAAAACTTTACTTTGTAATAATTACTAACTAGCTAACTTAAAAAAACCAATTTTTGAAAATTTTTAAAATATTAAACATGTTTAATAATTTATATAGCGGTAATTAATCACGCTATTATTTTCTTAAGCTGACATTATCTTCTTAGTCAGTGGGTTCTAATGATTTTTAGCCCCAGAAAGAGATATAGAGCCGTAAATAAGCAAATCGCCAACTCCCCATTTGATGTCTAGGCAAGATTTATTTATTTTTTCCAAATTGTAATTTTTCCCACACGTGTAATCTCTTTGTTCTCGTCATCGGCAATTTACAATGAAATATTCTGTTAATGCAGAATTTAGCATCGTCTAATGTAAAAAAATTACTGCAAATTCCAAAAAGAAAAAAAGGAAAAGAAAAAAAAGACATATTTTTTACAGTTTTCCTATTTTTAATCGTCATCCTAAATTTTATTTATTTATTTTTTTATTTTTAAACTGACTTTTTTCAGTACATCTATTTTTCTCAAAATAGTCTTTCTCTGTTGTTCACCTTTATTATAAACGGATATTAAAACTATCAGTTTATTCTGATAGTTCTACTTTTAGCCATGCAGTTTTGCCTACGTAAGATAGCTTAATCTTTTTTCAAATCATTTTACAATTATTTTCTATACTTGCTTTTACTTTTCAGAAATTATTTTATGGTTTTAAACATCATATTAATAAAATTGCGATTTGACTTCATAGTCGAATTGATACTCTACCTGATTATTATTTGTCTTTAGATATAATTTTTCGGCAAGTTAAATTGCCAGACATTTTTATAAGGGTGGGCCACTGAAGTTATAAAAGTTTTTACACTTAAATATGTTTTCGATAAGTATGACTTATAAGATAAAGGCAGTTAATGATTTTTCTTCATAACCAAACACTAGAGTTGTCGTGGTTTATGAGACCGAGTCATCTCCTAATAAGGTGTCTCGGGTTCGAATCCTGCTGTGGATTGGTCATGGGAATTCTGCTCTCAGCTTGCATCGACCAAAATGCTGACGTTGTTATTGTACAGTTTTTTTGTTGTTAAAATAACATAGTTTGATTGTGAAAGTAACAGTATTTATCTGCTTAAAAAAATAGGAGTCCGTTTTTAAATAACAGTATTTTACTGTGTAATGAACGGTTTTATTCTGGCACGCCAGCTGACAGTTTTTTTTTTATTACTGTAAATTTGCTTTTTTTTTACAGCCTATGTAACCATACCTCTTTTTTCTTGCTAAACATTTCATTTTACGACCATTTCGTGAAAAAGATTACAATTTATAAAAGGATACGAATTAGAAATGATAATAAACAAACATGAAGGAATAATATTTACATTTTATCAGTGTTGATAAAAAAGTGATAGCTTGACTTGAATTTCACGATCTCGTAAAATTAAATTGAATTTTTTTCCAATGGAAGATGTAGTTATGCTTTTGAGATAAAAAACTTAAAGGTACAACAAATCCTAATTTACACTGTAAAAAATCCCTGATCAAATTAAGAGGAAAAGTATTGGAACTTTTTACCATAAAATCCATTTATTTTGAATCATGTTACGGAACAAAAAAATTGATATATCGTGTAGTAATTTTCGGTGAAAATGGATTTTACGGATGATGCATCCTAAATGCCTGTATTTTATAATACAGTTTGATCCGGAATTTTTTATAGTGTGCTAATATCACAAACATTATGAATATTTAAAAATGTATTATTCACTGCTATTTTTTTGAAAAGGGACAGTTCACATATATTATTGTTATTTTTGAGGAAAAGTTGGTAATACGTCCACAGATGTAAAATCTGTCGAAATCAATATCAAGTGACAGAGTTTTGTAAGTGATTTCCATAACAAATTAAAACCTTAAATAAATTTTTAATTAACAAATGCTAATTAATTTTAAACAAAAAAGAATAATTTATAACATATTCCATAATGATGTCATTAAGGGAAAAGATTTTGTGTATTAAACTATAACTAAAAGGGCATTCGGAATATAATTATTTTTTCTCTCCGTTTAATAACTTTTTAACTAATTTATTTAAATTTTGAGCATTTCTTTTCGTGATTTTGAATTTGGTCTCATAGATCTCATTGAATACAGGATCTTTTTTTATAACGGCACTTTTATTATTATGAATATAAAGAAAAATCCTATCTTGTCGAGTTGCATAATAAATATAACAGAGAGATAAATCAAAATCATTTTTACGAAGAACTTTTTTTTCTCTTTTACCATTTTTGAACGTGATTATGGTTTGACAAAATCAAAGAAGTACAAATGTCAGTTGTCCAAAGAAATATAATGCTTACTGTCTGATTAGCACCTGCGATTTTCACTGTCTATAGTTACTATAATTTGTTATTTTTCTTTACATTTTGGTTTTGCGCATAATATTTCTTGCTAGCGAGCGAAATGTTACCGGTAAGACAGCGATTTAAACTTATTTCTTGGTTTAGAATAATTATATCTAGTTGAATAAATTTAACCTGATAAGTAGCTTGATTTTTGAACTTCTTCATAAAATAAATCGTGAGAAATTAGAATCATATTAATTATTATTAGAATTCTTTTGTTAATTGTGCTGTTACAATTATAAGTTAAAAATTTCTGCAGTTTCTTAAAAAATTATTAGTAATAATGGAAACTTCAGTTTTTTGTAAAATCTTAACATTTTATGCCTCTTAAACATTGCAATAACCATTATTGAGCAAAAGAAATTGGTACATTTCTTCAGTTTACCAGATAATCATAATGAAAAGTTTAAGTTTATATTCAATTCTTTAAGATTTTATACGTTTTTTTTAAAAAAATAAATTGGATGTCAAGCAAATTAGATATAAATTAGATTAGATATAATTCCATTCAAAATTCGTTTAAACTAAATTATCGCAGTCACATTCATAGCAATTTTTTCGTTAATAACGTTTCTTCATTAACGAAGAAATTATTAACTATGTAGTTATTTGGCATTTCGTATGCTTTTCATTTGAAATATTAATTTATAAATGGTTGTATGTGTCGATTATAATCAATAAATACTCTGATTGAATGTGTTTTTAAAAACGATGAGTAAATAAATGGAAATAATCATTTAACAAAATTCTTTCAAATCAAATTATCACACATACAGAAAAATCTTACATTGCCATTAATAACAAAATTTTGAACATTTGCATAATTATATAAGATTTTAAATACCGAAAATTAATTTAGAAATCTTTTGAAATCGAGTTGCCATAGCCACGTTTAAAACAGAGTCATACGAAAAAGTAAGCTTCAGAGAAATCACTTCATTTCGTCTGTTAAATTTGCAAAAAGTAGGGGAGAGTGGGGTCAATTGTAGCATATTTTACTTAACTATTTTTAACTAACAAAAAATCCAATATATTATTAGTATTAATTGATAGACGAGTAAAGTCTTCTGCTAGAAAAAATAAATAAATACCTTATTTTAAATGTTATTATATTAGTTATTAACAATTTTTGACAGTCGTGCACTTGTTACAATTGTCCCCACTTACGGGATCAATTGTAACTGTTCATAAATTCAACTAAAACATAGTTAATTATACATATTATCATAGTTGTGATATATTTTTTTATTGATTAAAATAGTTGTGATATTTTTGGAGTAAAAATAATAATGAGCAGAGACCTAAAGGGTTAACTTAAAGGGGTTAAAAATTTTAATTTATGCTGCGAAAGGTGACAAATAAAATAATGCGCATGCAACATAATATAAATGATATAGGAAACTATCGGTGGTTCTTAAAGAGTTAAGTAATGGTTTGTAAACATAAGAGTATTTATTTTCAGCTATTACAATCGTCCCATTACTTATTGTTACAATCGTTCCCAAGACGCCATTTCAGCTTCATTTGTTAAAAAGAATGCTAGTTAATTAACGAAACTAATATTTTTTTTTGAAATGTTAATTAAGGTTTCCACTTAGATATTCGGTTAATAATTTTTATTTGTTTAAACAAAATTACTTTGTTACAGTATAATATTCTAATACCAAAAAAAGTACTGTAGCATGAAAATATCTTTTGTGGTGTAAATCTTTCAAAAGTACATAAAAATGGTTGCCAGCAGGGGCGTACATNAACAAACTTACTTTGTTACAATATAATATTCTAATACCAAAAAAAGTACTTACTTACGAAGTGTGAAAATCTCTTTTGTGGTGCAACTCTTTCAAAAGTACATAAAAATGGTTGCCAGCAGGGGTGTACATGTAGATTTATTGAATACACCTTGTGCGCCACCTAGGAACCAAATCTAGAACCCGACACTCGAAATTTTTGCTCTGTTACAATCGTACCCTGTTGCAATTGACCCCACTCTCCCCTAAAGTAAGAAATTGCTTTCAAATTAAATTATTATTTTAAATAGTTTAATAATTAATGTTTTTGCTATTGATTTTCAGACTTTGGATAATGGTAAAATCAAGTGTGGTTATTGAATAAAAAGAAGCATGGCCAGTAATGAGTCGATTCTCTTTTACAGTGCATCCAATTTGACTTACAATGAATCTAATTTGGCGTACAATGAATCTATTTTGACGTACAATGAATCTAATTCGTCGTACAACGAATTCAACAATGACATTAGTGAAAGTGTTCGGAAACCAGCATTAAATAAATACTATCCCATCCTCGTTGCAGAATTGGGTCTGTCCATCATTTGTTCAATTGCTTTAATAATAGTGTATTTCATAATCAATGAACATCGTACTTTGCCAGGAAAAAATGTTATTTCAATTTCATGTTGTCTTATTGTTACCTACATTCTACTGATAATTGACTTGTTGTGGCGCAACATAATTCCTTTCAGAATATGTTTTGTAATGGGTGTTGCTGTACATACGACATTTCTTGCAACATTCTTTTGGACAAATGTAATGTCGTACGATATTATGAAAACTATGGCTTCTATTAAGCAAGATTCTGAAAGTAAAGCAAGATTTTGGAAGTATTCTGTTTATGCATGGGCAATGACATTTATGTGCGTTGCTCCCGCTGTAGCCATTGATCAAATAGAATCTGTTCCGTTTTATTATAGGCCAAATTTCGGACAGAAGAAATGCTGGCTAACTGGACAAGAGGCATTCTTGATTTACTTCAATGCACCAGTTGGATTAACATTGGCTGCAAACTGTATATTTTTTGCAGTGACTGCAAGAACAATTGTTAAAGTGCGAAGCGCCACAACAATATTGGCGGCGAATCGTCACCAGAAAAGGTAATATATGTATTGTATGTTTATTTTTTATCTCACTTATATTTAGAAAAAAATTATTGAGCATTTTTTTCATAAATATGCGAAAAATATTGAAATTCACTCTATGAACTCAGAAATTTCTCTGGAGTGTAACCTGCTGAATGAGTGCAAGGGTTGAGAAAACATGTGTCTTCCTTTTAGAACGTTCTCTTAACTTTTTTTAATAAAATATAACACAATTTTGTTTTTTAAAGCATTTTAAAAATGTATTTGTAAAGTTTCATAGTAAGGAATGGCCTAGCAGTCTTTACTTGGCAAAACTGGAATGAGACTAAGTAGCTAGTTGCTATTAGTGAGTGTTTTCGAATTGATGCAACTCCTATGATAAAATAAAGTAAGTTATTTAAAGCTAACAATAGATTTTGGAGATATGACATCTCAAACTATCCATAACGACACCTTTAAAAAATAACAATAATGTTATTTTTTAAAATGCTATGTTATTAATAATGTTATTTTTTGTTATAAAAAATAACATTGTTTTGTCAATAATGTTATTTTTTATGTTGTTTATAAAATGTTCTGAAAGAATGGAAGCGTTCAAAAATCTAAAACTACGAACAGGAAATATTTTCAAACGATGCATTGAATGATACCAAACATGATCTTTAACCTTCTTAGGGATGAGCAATGTCAAAATTTTAAATTGTAATCTCCATTTTTCAGGCGGACATGAATAAAAAGAAATTCCCTTGTTTAAAATTTTATTTCTTTATTCATTTTTAAAAGCCTAGCCTCAACTAGGAGGTCTAGCCTCAACTTTGTAGATTTCTGGAAGACGCAGGATAAAAATCTCACATGTTTACGATAATAATTGCTTTTCTTACATTTGTCAAATAATCCTTGATTTTCTCCTTTTCAAAACTTACGTTGGAGGATAAAACTTTTAACGAAGCTACACTTTACAGATTTTGTTTTCTTTGCTAATAAGGGCAGAAGTTCCGTAAGCATGGACTCATGTAATTAAAACAAAGATGACCAAAAACTATCGTATAAAATTTTATTATATTGGAGAGCTTTCATAGCGTTTGCCGTACGTTAACCGTAAGTTAATTTTTAACCCCTTTGGGATACGGTAATTTGCAGGGAAAGCTTCGCGCATGAGCTGTGAAGCTCAAATGACGTTAACGATAAAATTTCGGGGAGCCAGAACCCTATGCAAAATTTTTTAAATAAAATCCGTTCATCCTAAAGATATTTATGATTTAAGAATGAATAAAAAATAATTTACTTCAGCAACACATAATAATAATAATTGTTTCACATTGTGCGCTTTATAGATGAACATTGCTTTGAGAGATGCTTAAACTGACGTCACTTCACTCATCTGTTCACTAGAAATCTATTAAGTAAGGCTCCTATACCTATAATATCTAATTCAGGGGCTCTACTATTAAGGATCAATAAGTTACAAATACAACCAATAGGAATACGTTTCTAATGTGATAGAAACACGAATCGTTCTATACGAATAGTGCAAATGGAAACTGATTTAATGATAGTGGAATACTAATCTAGTTCAGTATCTAACCTGGACATGAGAACATCTCTATTAATTTCTTATTGTCACACTATTATATAGTGGTTAGTAAAAGCACAAAACTACCTATTTTAAGTAGTAAGTTTACTTAATTACAAATAATAGATAAAGACGTAATGTGTTGATAAGATAATGAGGTTCCACTATAATTTTAAAATCAATGTTTTTGTTTAGATGCATGAGCTTTTTTCTTGAATTTTGAAAACACTTTATTAATGGTTAATGATATGGAGGAAGCAATAAAAAACTCCGAACTGTTACCTAAATGTTTGTGCAACATAGATTTGCCGCACACGTCAGAGCACACCAGACATTTACCACCTTTAGCTATGCCAACTATAACTACGCCGGATACATCATTAGTGGATCCTAACGAAGCTCGAATTAAAGAACTTATGACAGACTTAAAGTCAGCTAGAGCCGAAGATTTAAAGCTTGAAGAGAAATTCGAAAAAAAGACTCGAAATCTGATGGATGAACTTAAAAACATCCCCGGTCATTGCGATTGCGAAGACAAATGGTTGGCGAGTGAAATTATTGTGGAGAGTGGCGATAGACTTAAATATCAATTGGAGCACAGTAGATTCTTATTAGCCGAAGCAAGGAACCAACTACATTCCCTGAGTAAGGAGTTGAACATGTATCGGCGACTTGTAAGGCAAGAAATTGGATCGGACATGACGTTACACCAGTTGTTGAATTCAAAGCAGTGGAAAGGCAGATCTGAAGAAATTGAGCGACTCAAAGCAGAAATCGCCAATATGGAATCAAAAGCATACAGTCACAAGTACTTACGAAACCCACTCTGCATTCCAGAATATAATCCTCGTTTTCCACGCGTCGATGATTTGATTCCTCGGCGCCAAGTTGAGTTTCTTAAAAAGGAAGCTGCCAAAAGGAAGGAAGAGAAAAGCAGACAAACTAAGGAAGTGACTTCGTTGATGAACGAGTATGGTGATTTAGCTCTGATGTATAAAGCTTCTGTCACTCACAATAAAACATTAGCTGAAGAACTTAGAAACCTTAAAGAACAACTTCAAACATACGATGCCAAGACAAAAGGCGATTTGGAACTTATTAAAAAACTAACAGTTCATCAGATGCAAATGAAAAAGATGCTAGATCGAGAGGCACAATTGTCACAACTCGTTTGTGCGAAACAAGGTGAAAAAGTAGCGACAGAAGACGAGAGAGAACTAGACGCAATCAAGTATAAAGTCCTTTGGGAAACAAGCGAGTATCAAAAACAGTCTTTCTTGGAGATATTGCAGCAGCTCACTCGACAGTTAGAGAAAGTGATGGACAGAACTGAGGAAGCTGAAAGACACTGTCGCCAAAATCAAGACCGACAGGAAGATATAGAACATCTTATCGAAGAACGAAAAGAAACAGAGAAAGCTAAACCTAAAGCAAAACAACACAAGAGCAAAGAGAAAAAAGGTGGCAAGAAAGATTTGTCTATAGCTGCTCAGTTAGAAGCTGCGAGCGAAGAAAACGAATTTCTAAAGAGTTTCCTCCATTGTGAAATTGAAGCGAGGGGAAAAGATCTTGAATTGTATTTAAAAACCATGAATAATATTCGACAGCAGTATTTAGAGGCTCTTAACAAGTTAACAAAAAAGGAGGAAGGCGTTTTACAGACAGTTGCAGAAGAGCAGCCTCAAAAATGAAAATTATAAATATTACGATGAATAAATTTTTTAACTAGATAATATTTTACATTCAGTTTTGTAGCTTTTTTAATGAAATTCAACAAAAAGATAAAATTAAATAGAAATTGAGGAAAAGAGAAAAATTCGTGGTATAAAATTATTATTTGTTTGTCCATTATTAAAGAATTATTTTAGCTATTTAAATGATTTGTATCGAATTTTCCTATTTCCAATTTTTTTCTGATTATAAGTTTATTGCAGATTCCGCAACCAGGCTACTTATAGGTGAATACGTATATTTTAAATTTAGCTTGTGTCGTATCTCAAAACTATAATTATTTAAAAATTAGATATATATATATATATCTTAAATTATTATCGCCATCTGCTCTCGGAACTAAATTGTTGTAGAGAATGACTCGCATGACAGTTAACAGTGGTGTAAAGGCATTAAAAAAAGTTTACTTAGTTTTAAGGACTTATACAGGCTATCCAAAATCTAAAGAAACGATCAAATATCTCGAGAAGCATCAGATCTAAAAAACACAAACCCTATGGGTGGGGAAAACTTTAAACAGGAACCACCATGTTTTTAAATGCCTATTTAGATTCTCAAAAAAAAAAAAAAAATACTGAGTTTGACATGCAAATTGTTGCATATTGATTTATGGATTAATTGCAAAATCGCTTAAAATGATCGTGTTTGCTACTAAGACAGGGATATATGAGCCATTCTTTCTTATTCCCCACACTGAAGTTTTTACTACGGTAAGTGCCATTGCCCGGCAATTCCCACATTGATGTTTTCTAAATATACCCTATCCAAGTATTGTTATAAAAACTAAATAAAACGTGTATTTCATAAAATTCCTTTGAACACTAGAAACTTATTTTCCTTCGAACGCAAATTTTTAGAGACAATTCAATTATCGTCTTAAAACGCATGGCCTAAAACGATGCAAACCAACCGCTTTTTCTCACCCATACTACCTCAAATGGCAATAAAGCACATATTTAAAGGTTTATTTTGTACCCGATGGCAACATAAGAAGTCCACAGAGCTTCAAATCAATGGGTGTAAACTAGTATGGATTTAAAGGCGGCTGGTACTCACTGTCTGCCACATTTCTCGAAATTCAAAGTCTTCTTGGCCATTCATGGACATGTGTGAGCATATTTTTTAAAAAATTTATTGTTTACGAAACTAATGTTTTTAACATTCAAATTCCTGTCTTGAGCTTATCGTAGTTGATCAAAATGATGATGCACGGAAGATAGAATTTTTCGTACTTTTTAAACCAAGTCATGTGTGGATGTATGCCTGCTTCATGCAATAGTTTTTATAGAATATATATAAATAAAAAAATATAATCTAACCGTAAAAGATGTATCATATGCTTGATTCACTTACAGTATTATACGTCATATCGCTTCATTATTATTTAAAATAATACAGTTGATTGAGNATGTAGATAAAAAAAGTGTCGATATATGCTTTCATTTTTCTTAATAATTAAAGTTAAAACTGAACTCTTTAAAATAAAGTATTTATAGTGTCATTTTCGCCAACTAGTAAAACATTTTTATAAGTTTAAAATGGTATTTTTTTTGAATATAATAACCAAGAAAGTTTTTTTGAACTATGCTTATGAACAGAAATAATGTGTTAATTACATAAAATTTGAAAGCTAATAACCAGAAAAATTCTAACTTATTTCTACAAAGAGAAAGATGCAAAGTTATCATATCTTTGCTTGCGATCTCCGAGATCTGTGGACACAATGAAGTCATGAGGAGGTAAATCGTAGCTTCAGCTCTAAGAGCGGAGTGAACTAGCCCTTCTATTCTCTTTAGCCCTGGGCTATATACGTGTTACAAGATGTCACAAAATACTTTTCCTTCTTCAGTATTCATATTTATGTTAAAATCACCGTCAAAACAGTAATTATAAGTTAATAATAAAAAGAATGTAAAAATACTTTAAATTATTATTACGTAAATACATTAAGAATGACTGTCGGTGAAAAATAAAAAACAGAATTCTAAAAAAATTATCGAACAGCAGCGGTCGCCATCGAAACGCATGCGCACTGTTAACCATTATTCTTGAACACAGTTGCAAAGTCTGATGATGTCCAAATCAAGTTCAACATTCAAACTCAAAACAAGATCCATTTTGCCAATGGGTAAAAATAAATGCAATTAAAATACGTATTCCTTTTCCCTACAATAGCATCTGAATATCAAAAGGTTACATTGTTTAAAAAAAAAATGTTTGTTAGCGCATAACCAATTAACCGAGACCTCGAAAATAAGCATTTTAAGATGCTAGCAAATGATACACGATTCAAGATAAATTACCTTTTTTTAAGTGATGTAATTGAAAAGCAAAATCAGCGTCATTACGATAACAGAATGTTACATTTTCTTTTACATTTCGTTTCAGATATAGACTTTGTATGAAATTAGTACTGATTATGGGATTAGTTTGGATAACAGAATTTATTCCATGGATCACAGGTATTTATTATTTATATGCAGTTGCAGGCATGCTCAATTGCTTACACGGTGTTTACTTGCTCATTATTTTCGTCTGTAAAAAGAGAACTTTGAAGATATTGTTCGATGGTTGCGTTTGTCCTTGTTCCAAAATGTCTCCTCCAACAGACAGAAAGAAAACACCATCGTTAGATACTGTTACCACGCTTGTACCGAATTAATGTATGTGAAACTATTAATAATTTACAAAATAAACATTTCAACAGACTAAAGGTTTGATTAAAGAAAGCTGTAATGTCTATTTTCTTCTTTTACAACTAATGATACAGCAAAAATACTAATTTCGTTGCATATCTCAGAAAAATCTGCTTTATTGAATGTGTTTTTCACACTAGGGTGCATTGCAAGCTCTCTACTTTCGGGTTACTGTTTCCGGTGTGTTTTAAAGCCCTTCTGCTCACATGATCATTGTTTTGAGAATTTCTTGTATATATGTATTTGTTGCAAATTTATCATTTGTGTTTGAAAAAAGAATCGCCATTTCAAGACGTAAAAATCGTCATTTGAAAAAGAGAATATTTATAAAACACTTCTTATCTTGTCAACAAACTACCAACTTCGAAATTTTAACATAAAGGATAATTTGTAAAATGCACTTAAACTTGCTTTTCGAACAATATGCTAACACTAACGTATGATGGCGCACGGCTTGCAACATGAACAAATAATATACAAAAAGAGGCCAAATCCGGATTGCCAGAAAAACGAGTTCATTATAAAAACATCATCCATAGAAAGAGCCACCCTCGACGCAAAGTCTGGGGTTGTCTGCTGTTACGGAGACGAACAATAGGGTTCCCACTTTTAACAAAGCTAAAATTAAGGACTCTTATTTGAAAAAAATTAAGCTTTTTTTTTATTGATATTAGATTGATAAGAGTTAACATATATGAAACCAATCCGTATTCATTTTTTAATAATTTCATTTAAATTGAATTGTAACATTAAGTGCAGAAATTAAGATTTGCACTTTTTTTCATATATAATTTTTAAAAAAGTAAATAAAGAAATGAGAGAAAACATTGAAAAAATTATTACAAGTTTTTATATTTCATTACTAGACATGCACAACATATTCAGTTGCGAGCCATCTTTGCTAAATATTCAGTTACGCCAAAAAAATTCTTTCTTTTCTATTAATAAAATTTTTCATTTATAAGGGTACATAATAAAAGAATTAATACTAAAAATTTTAATCAGAGTTATGCATGAGAATAGTTTTCTTAACTGTCATGTTAAATTAAGTTCTATTTCAAGCAAACATACATACTAATATCTAAGCACCTTAAATCATTCCACTTTTTTTTTTCTAATTAGGCCTAACTTAATTCATTCTTAATGTTATTCTCTACTTACTATTATTATGATTTGATATTAAATTTTTATCGCAAATTAACAGTTTAAAACTGAAAGAGGTATCCTTTTATTATAAAGTAATCCTGTAATATCACCTTATCAGGAAACGTTTTGTGAAAAATATTGAAAAACATATTAAAAACGGTATGTAACTTGATCATTTTGAAATTACTTATTACTAAACAGCAAATGTGTTAGATATATTTACTTCTATGATGAGTTTTACATAAAATTATTTCCAGCCAAAACTGTTATTAGGAATTAACTTTACTAAACAATTTGGCGAAAAAGATGAATTTAAAGCAATCAAAAGTTTAAAAAAAACAGTATATTAAGATGCAATGTTGACTGAAAAAAAAATTATTGTTAAAGTCTCAGTTTGAATTTGATTCTAATAGACATAATAACAGAGTTCAGGATCTTTTTTTAATTGAGTAGATATAAATTTTTATGTAACAATCTGCTTTATCTTTAAGAAATAAAAATAATAAGAGTAACAATCTTATAACTAAATAGTTACCAAATATTTAACTTTCTTGTTAGAAGCAAATCATACATTATTTTGCACTCAGGAATAAAAATTTAAAGTATATTTGAAATTAGGGATTTTTAAAAACTTTGTATCAAAATTAAGTACTTTTAAGGGCCCTTATTTTCCAAAATAAAAATTAAGCAGTTTTTTTTAAGGACAGTAAGAACCCTGAAAGAGGAGAGCTTTCTCTTGCTAAAGCCGGTCTTAAATACTGATCCAACAACTCAATTTGAAATAGTTAAAACACGTAGACATAGTAACCGCCACTACTCCAGATAAATATCAAGGGGAGTTCTTTCCATAGACTGGCTATACACAGGAGTAACTAGGGGTCTAAGATGCAAATTTTTAATATTACAAGGGGCACTACTAATCATCTATCGTCCCGCAGTGGACTGATCGTTAAGACACGGTTCCCAGCAGATCACCGAAGTCAAGCATCACTGACTACGGTCAGTGTGCGGGTGGGTGACCACTTGGATCAGTCTGCGTAGGGACCGAGGGTGTGCGGTATTGGTCCTCGTTAAACTGTGCTACCGTAAAGTGCTCGACTTCGCGCGCAGGTCGTCGGGCTACCGAAGTGGGGGTGCCATCCCCTCCGCAGAGGATCAAAATTGTGATGGCATGTCTTCGGATCATCCTCCGGGATGTTTCCCAGACCGTCGCCAATAGCCCAATGTGCAGCTCTAGTGCGACGTAAATTAACAACAACAACTAATCATCCATCTCTCTTACCAAATTATATTCATACATTAAGAAACTTGTTCAAGTAGCTTTGGCAACAAAAGAAAAAGGAATCCGATTTATGAATGCTGTGAAGAGAGATTCGTTTGCGTCATATTTAGGATACTTTTTTGTTTGAAAAGAAAAAGATCTGCCTTTTGTCTCATAGGCACAATATGGTAGACCATATTATGATTAGTTATTAAGCATCCTTGAAATGAAAGTATTTTTGATGCTGTAAAAAAAGGAATTGTGTCATTGAAATTATTTATTACAGTAACTATTTTTAAAACAATATTTGCTTCAAAGATAACTTTTAATGTTTTCGTTGATTATATTGTTTATAAATCAGAAGTAAAGATGCATTAGTGATTATTAAGTACATTTCTATCTTTTGAAAATATTTCAGTTTTAAATTTTTCACGATTTTTTTTAATGAAAGACACTTAGCTTTTAGCCATGGACAGCTTAAACCATTGTTTACATAGAAGACGTTTCAAACCAAACAGAAGCACCATTATTTTTTTAGTTTAGACTAGTCTCACCAATAGTGGACATGAAGTAAGTTTACCTCCAAAGTTGTGCATCACTGGCTGTGGTTAGGGTGTGGATGAGTGACCACTTTGATCACCCAGCAGGCAAGAGATAGAGGGTGTGTGGTATTAGTCCTCGTAAAACTGTTCTACTATAGAGCAGGGATGAGAGTAGTCAGAAAGTAAAAAAGAGGAAATCCAAGAATATATATATATATATAAAAATCGCACTTTTTTTGTCAAATTTTTGTTTAAACTTGTAATCCATGTGATTATAAATCCCGATATGAGTTTTTAAAATCACGTGAATATGAAACTCTACATCGAATTTAAAAAATGCGAAAATACAAATCATGATGTGTAATTTTTAGATCAAGATGCATAATTTTAAAATCGCGCGATATTACAACCGCAAAAACGAATCACGACATAGGGTTTTAAAAGTTCGTAAATACAAATCGCGATATTGGTTTCTTAATCTCCTAAATAAGAATCGCAATGTACAATATTTAAATGGCCTGAATAAGAATCGCAACGTTCAACTTTTAAATCAGGTAAATACGCAAATCGATGTTTGATAATAAAATCACGATTTTAAAAATGCAAAAATACAAAACACGATATTAGATTCTTACATCTCGTAAATACGAGTCATAATGTACGATATTTAAAAAGCGTAAATAAGAATTGCAATGCGCAACTTTTAAATCAGGTAAATACGAAAATCGATGATTGATATTAAAATCGAGTGAATAAAAATCGAGATATTTGCAGAGTCTGGACTTCTGATTTCTAAAAGAATTGTTTTTTGTTTATACAATAAATAAAAATTTACAAGATTAATTGAATGAGCAAATAAATATTTCACTCCAGAATACAAAAGCAGCGACGTCTAAATTACGAAAATACGAGCTATCCCGCTGACGGATAAAAAATACGGAAAATCTTATTTTCTGTGCGTGAAATCGGAGAAAATAGCTATAATTTTTCTGCTCTCATCT